AATGCAACTCTGATGGTACTGTATGGTCAGTATTAGCTGCTAGTGGTCAAGAAAGTCCTCTGGCTAACAGATCAATGGTGAGTAGTGGAGCTTTACAGCAGTGATAAGCTATCATACTCAGCTTCATGCAAGATTAACACTAAAAGAAAGATGTTCCTGAAACCAGGCCTGTCTTCTTTAATCAAAGCTGCAATCTGTAAAGCATATTCCCATGAGCTATGTTTTTGCCATGATGATATCTACCACCAGCTTTGTTATCATGAAATGAACAGAGAGATAGAAGAGACAGCATAATAAAAGTGCAGATTCTCTAAAAATATCTGAGATGATATTGATAATTTCCAGTGGAAGCATGGCTGGATAACCAGAGAGTTTAATAGGCTTTTGTCTTTTGTTGGCCTTTGACCTGGTATTGAGCTTGAGGCATTCCACTGGTGGTTGTACTCAAAATGTGATGAGATAAGTCATAAGAAGAATGATAAGCTGTAAATACTCTGACTAAAGAACACAGGTGTATGTTCACTATCTTCAACATATGTTTGACAGTTAGTTGTTAATCTTTGAAGATCAAGAAGAGCTCTTCCCTCTGTTAGATTATAATACTGTCTTTCATTTTCAGACTCTTGCTCCAAGACATGCCATCTGGAATGCTGGAAAGATTCCAGAACTGATGCAGAAAGAATGGATTTTCTTGATGATTTATCATGATGAAGACTGCTGGATCATTCTTGAACAGCTTCTTGCAACCAATGAATGTATCTTGTTCTTTAAAACATTCCTGTAAGATACACTCTATCTCAAGCTCTGTATGAAAGTATTATAATATCTTCTTCTGTTCAAACTACCCAGCTTGTTGCAGAAGGCATTCTTCAGATTCTATACTGGAGTGAATCAGATACTAAAGGAGATTTGTATTTAAACAAGAAAGTCTGAAATAGTAGTATATCATGAAATACAGGCCACCAGCAGAATACTTGAATATGTACAGCTGGTGCTTACTGTTATGTGTGATTTTCCTCTCATGACTCATGTTGCCCCCTGTCAAGCTTCTGAGAAAGGAAAGCCTATCATTAAAGAGTGCAGTGAGGAATACTGGTATCAGCTGGCTATGCTAGTCTTTGAACTTGGTTTTGATACCACTGAGATTAGAAACCTGTAATCTGGCAATCCATTAGAGAACCTTGCCCATGTGTTCATAAGATGCTCACACCCACCAGAGTTATATGAAATCAATCAGCACCTGCTTGATAATCTAGCAAGCCAGTTTGCTGAGCAATTCCCAGTGATTGTGCAACTGCAGTATCATGCTGGATCTTCTGTATTCACAACAGACTTGAAAGCTATTGAAAAAACTGCCTGCTGGAACTGTTTATTAGATACACATTATCTGAAAGACAGAGAGTATATGTATCTTGATGTGATGTATAACTATCATCCTATTATGGCCTCATGTCTCATATCTTTAGCTTTCCAGAGAGATATCTTTGTGTCATTCTTTAGTGCTTTGCTGCTATATCTGGTAGGCAGTGGAGTTGAAGAACAAGATCCTCCACCATTATCAGTGCCTCTGTTGCCCCAGCTGCAAGATTATAGCCTGGTAAGAGTTGATAACAACCCAGGAAGCTCCATTTACAGTGACTGAGAAACAAAGCTCTATCTATTTCAACTACTTGATGGTGACATGTCACTGTTGAGTATAGCAAGAATGCTAGTTAAGAATGATTCTCTGGCCCTCTATAACTGGAAGAAATATCAGATTGCAAGATTCACAGATGATAATTGGAAAAGATTTTATTGTACTGTAAGCTTGCTTGCAGATAAAGATTATTGTTTTCTCAGACTAAATAATGAGGGTAGAGTGGCTGTCTATCTCTTACAGAATCTCTGGAACACACTGCAGAGTGAGAAAGCCATTTTAGCTGGATCTAAGAAGGATCTTGCCAACTTTGTGGGAAGAGTAGCTGAGATTTTGAACAATTTCACTAAATATGTCTTGAGGGAGAGTAGTTGAAATAATCAGAATACATTAGAACTTGACTTTGAGTGGCCAGCTGACCCAGAAGCCAAATTATTAGTTATCTAGTGTTGGATGAAGTGTTTAGAATACAGAAGGCCAGAAATCACTTGCTTTTTCCACTCTTTCACTTGCAGCAGCATTTAATCTTGTTGCTGATTTTTATCTTCTTTCTGTGTTGCCTCCATCTGGTATTGCCATGAAATCATCATAATTTTTGGTAATTAGTGGCAGTTGAGCTGTCTGATTGAGTCAGCAGAGTTTTTTTGATGTAATTCAGTGGCCACCTACAAGATCTTTACTTGAAAAATTTTTATTATTTTTGAAGCAATAAACCTTTCTGTCACAATTAGAGATAATGACCAATTCTTTGAGCTGAAAATTCCAGCAGAGTGAGTGAAATTTTTAAAATACTGTTCTTCTTTGCTTTATTTTGAATTCAACTGTATCTTGTTTGTCTTGAGCAGGTGTCATGGTTCTTTGCTTTTCTTTTCTTCTTTTCTGGATTTGAGACAATGAGTTATTTTCTGGGAAGAGAAGAATCAAATCTGCTTTGAAACAATAAGTCTGTGGTAGAAGAGAACTTTATAAATTACTTTCTGGTGCTAATTATAGAGTGATCTAGCTGCTGAATGTTGATAATGCTTCTCCTCTGTCCAATCCATATATAGTATTCATATTTAGTATCAATATGAATTGGACAGAAGAGAAGCATTACCAGAAAGTTTTCTTTTTAATTTAGCTGAAAACAATATATAATAAGTGTCTGTTCTATATGCATTCAGCCAAAAGTAGTGGCCACAATGGATTTTATACTTCTCTATATCTTGATTCTAGATGACTGCATGTTTGGGCTTCTTGTTCTTTAACTTATCACTCTCTCTAGAGAGTGTCTGACATATGTGTGTCTCAAGCTTTTTGTATATCTCAATGCTGTTTATTAATCCCACATCTTGCCTCCCATCACATGATATGGGCTCTTTTTGCAGGTTTCCTACTGGTCTGTCTCCCTCACATGCAACTTTGTTAGGGTCAAATCAATTGTGGAGATAGGTTCCCAAGCCAGCCATCTTTCCATGGTGAATATGATTTCTCTACTCTTCACTGGATGATTGAGTTTTGCTGCAGATTTTCTGGAGCTCTTGCTTCACCTATATCAACAGATGTACAGCAGTATTGGCCTGTTGGCTTCTCTCCAGACACTCACCCATATATTAGTGGTTTTGTATCAGCAAAACTTTAGGCTCAAAGATTTAATTTAATTTTATGGTTTTGTGGTATATCTTCTTGTTGATTTAGAGTATTTTCTGGCTAATATTTTCTCTAGAGCATCTTGTTTCTAGATTGCACTGTTCTGGTGAGCATACTCTGTGCATGAATCTTTAAAGTATATATTAAAGTGCACTACCTCTCTGTTTTGATGACAGTAGCTATGCTTTTCTATCATCTTTAGCTTCAGAGGTTATTCTCAAGATTCTTAATACTTATCAGTTTATTAGTTCTGCTGGCTAGCACAATTTTTTGCTTCTGTTTTTATTTGAGGCAAGCTGATACTCAAGTAATCATGAAAGACTCCATCTCAAGAATTATCATTCATTCTAAGAAGCTATTTCAGTTGCAAGCAGGACAGTATATCTATATCTAAATGCATTGCAGAAGCAACTAGTCCTTTTATCTCTTTATAATAGCTTGACAGAAGGCAGAAAGTGATGATAAGGTTATTCAGATTATGCTGCTGGCCTGAAGAAGAGCAGAATTCATATTAAAATTGCATGAACACATGTACAGCAATATAGTGCAGATGTGGATTGAAGGGCCTTACAGCAGGCCACTGAGAATACAAGACTATAACTGTGTACTGATAATTTGCACTGGTGTTGGAATTATCACCCATATTTCATATATCAAGAAGTTCTTAGATTACTATAAATGATGGAAGGTCCCTGGCCACAAGATTTTTTTAGCCTGGAAGGTGCATGAAAGGAGTAGAAACAGTTTAATCTTGACAAAGAATTCACTAATATAAATCTTGACAGCTCAATTAGACTGAATATGTGACTTGATAAATGAGCTGTTGAAACAAGATCAAGATGACTATATAAGTTTCTTATCTTCTACTCCAACAGTAAAACCTATTTCATCTCTGTTAGATTCTACAAATTGCTCTTTATCTGGTCTACTTACAGAGAAAAAAGAGAAAACTGCAGGGGGAACATAACTGTATCTGGAAGTTACTGAACTTCATAAATACTAAAAGAGTAGTGACTTGCCAGTTTTTGCAGTCTAAGAACTGACTGCTTGTTACTGGTATTTCTCTTTACTGTTTAAGCTGGTGAAGACTAACAGATCTAGTCTTGACTAATGATTGTATCTGTGATGGTGTAAGAGAGTTAATTAAGAGCAAGATGCAGACAGATATTAGAATAATTAATCTTGATTTCCAGCTGTAGGAGAAAAGCAAGCTCAAACAATTCACATCTCTCAGCACTACTGTGTAACCACATGGTTTGAAGATTGTGGAGAGGCATATGAGCATGGTCCACAGTATTTTAGAAAACCAGAATTATTGTTGCAACATGAAGAAAATCAAATATATGCAGTAGAAAAGTTTCCATGTCATCATACTACACTCTATGGGTCTAACTGTAGGTCCATACACCCAACTTTTAGACACCCTCAGACATATCTCATATAGATACCCCATATACATGTAGCTTAACTTAAGCATCTTCTTGAGATTTTAAAGATAACTGTCAGCATGGTTAATAGAAAGCACTCTGCTTCATCTAACAGATATAATTATTCATCCAGACAACACTTTTAAAGGAAATACTTGTGCCATCTGTGAGTAAAGTTAAGCAAGATCAGCTGTTTACAGCTAGATATGCACCCAATAATCATGAAAAGATTGTTAATTGATATAGAGAAAGCAATACTGCACTTGGGTTTCTTGTTCTGAAAAAAGTCAAGAATGCATCAATATAAGTTACTTACACTAGTACAAGTAGAGTTAGATTAAAATACCATCAAGTCTTATTTTTCTTTATAGTCTGCTCAACACAATTTCACCAGAACCAATCTCAAGACATCTATCTTCCAGTCATAAACTATCTAACCATCTCATTAAAAGTCACTTGCAAATCCTCTCCTTTTCCAAAATGTGCTTGTAGCTGGTCTTTCTTGATGTTCAATGCTGCATTAATAATCTTAGCAGCATGCTTTTTAAGCTTCCATCAGCATTTTTGTTTTGCTTCATCCTTTCAACTGTGGAGTTTGCTAACTGAGGTCAAGATGTCAAATACTTGAATGATTTCTTGGAAATATAAGAGGGTTTGGGCCAAGGCTTTGTTGAATAATATTGTATAGGCCTGTTGAAAACCTTCTTATACTCAGTGACATATGGCAACTTCTGCTCTTTGGCATATTGGATTGTCTCATGATATTGCTGATGATATCACCACTGTATGTAATCTTATTTTGAATACTTGTGGTTTCTGTCTTTGTGAATTTCTGGCCAGTTGAAAATTCATCTTATTCTCCAAAACCCCATGGTGTATTCTGATATGAATCTCTATTAAGATTGAAAGCTAATCAGAACAGTAGTTGCTCTTTATACAGTCAAGTATACTTCTTACTTTATTCTGAAGAGCTGCTGTTTTCTTTTCAAGTGCCATATTTTGCTCCTCAAGCATTATACTTTTCTCCTCAAGCATTGTGTTCTGTTTCTGAAGTGTTTTGATTTGATCTCTGATCTCTGAAAGTTTGTGTAGTACTTTTTCCATGTTTTTCTCCTGTAAATCTAACAAAGTGAGACTCTCTCTGTTGCCAAGTTGTTTTTTTGAAGTGCTGGATGCCAAAGTTGTGACAGTCAGATATTGTATTTTGTAATAGCTACTTGAGAGAATCATCTCTGCCTGAGAGTGAATACATTCTTTTATACAGAATGCCATTGTACTATTTAATCATCAGAAAAAGAATACCTTTGGCATAATTTCATTATCCCAAGTTTGGAAATAGACTACTTGCCATGTTGTCATCTGAAGAGTATTCAGAAACAGTAGCTGATACCATTCTTTAATTCTCTTGGCTTGTTACTTTGATTTGAATCTGTAGTCTGTAAAATGTATGAATCAAAGTACAGTATTTCTGGTTAGGGGAATTCTTCTTCATGACATCTGCATGCATGTTATATTCTCAGCTGTAGACAGTTTAATATCTATCTTTCTTCTCCAGTCTTTGTTGGTGAAGTAAAGTTAAGAGATTTAAAGAAGTTTCCAGCAGTTTCAAGTTTATCTGCTAGACAGTCTCCATCCCTTTCAATAATAAGAAAGAGATTATTTGCTTTTACCATCTTTTTGATCTCTTTAGAGCTAAAAGTATTGCTAATATTTTCTTCTTATTAAAGCTCTATCTCTAGATTTTATTGAGCAGTATCAATAATGATCTCTTTAAACACATTTCTCTTTCTCTTGTGTTGATTTCCATATTCTTCTGCCTTATCTTGGTCTTGGCCCATCTTTTTGGTACTCTAAGGACCTTTTCTGCAACTGCATTTTTCCACTTAAGCTAGATCAATGACCATAAAGAGTAAAAGTGACTCCATTTCTCTCATAAATCTAAGCTGAGTTGAGAGATTGAATAAGCAAAAATATCAGTGGATCTTTCTAGAATGTGCTTTAGCATGGCTTGGCACACTAGAAGTGTGTGACTTACTTGGTAGTTAGAATAATTAAATCTTGTCTTTCCCCCTTTTATATCTTCAATAACAAGAGGGAAATAGTCACTTCCATTCCAGAATCTGATTCATAGTTTGAAGAGAGGTTCTCTCATTTATTAGTGGAGATGATGTTCTGCAACATAATAAGACAAGGAGTAACTTATAATAAGTTACTTATGCAGATGAAAGATTCTTTAATTCGACTGATTTGTTAAAATGACAGATGTTCAGTTTGGCAATTTGATTCTCATTCTATTCACATATAAGCTCTTGCATAGCTCTTTTAAGATTTCAACACATTGCAATTCAAATTACTCTGTTTCCATGACAGAGCCAGAACAGACAGCTCCAGATGAAATTGAAACTCAATCTGCCTCTCTATCAGTGTGTGAACAAGTTTGCTTTTGTCTCTGCCATGCTCTATCTCTTGATATGCAGGATAATCAGATGAGTATTCATCTTCTTTAAAATCTTGATACTGGTACACTTGATGTTAATGCACTGCATTCACTTATTAAGAATTTCTATACTGAAGTTGCTTCTGGTAATGCTAATGAGGCTTTAAATATAGCAAGAAATCTTGCCTGACAGGATAATATCTCTATAGATAGTATCAAGCAGTCTCTCTGTGCAGACAGAAATGCTAGTTTTACTAGTGGAAGCAGTGCTGTTACTAGGTCTCTTGTACACCAAGAGCCCAGTGGCACTTGACATAGCTAGAAATCTGGTGATAATTCTGCTGCTACTCAGACACTTACAAGTCAAGAGCCCCATGGCATTCAGTGTAATCAGGAATCTGATGGCAACACACTTGATCTAGATGCTCTTAGTCAAGAATTTGCAAATCTGAATCTTATAAATAAAGACATTCACAATAAGTATGGAACTGCAACTGATGAAACTGTTCTAGCCTGGAATTATGCTGGCACAACAGGCTTCCAGATGTTTGTTGCCTATAAAAATAATGAAGCAGTAACAGCTAGACTTGAGCTAGACTGTTTTCATAGCTTTAATAAAGATATTCTCCCACAGATGACTTTAATCAAATGCAGGTGACTTTGAATAGACTGAACTGAGAAGTATTACTTCCAGTGTGGTGATATTCTTGGAATTGGCCTTGTTGCTCCCTATATTGATGAGAATAATGAGAAAGATTCAGTCAAAGCATTAGCACCAGAGCTCTAGAGAACAGTCTATCCTAAAGTTGTGGTTGAAGTTCTATATCACAATGGCCACATTGAATATGAACTAAAAGACAATCTCAGCTAGCTTCTTTGAAAATCAGAAAGTGAAGTGAATAAAGTTATTCACTTAATGTTCAGAAAACAAGAAGGGAACTACCAGAATCAAATTGCCCTGAATGACAATCTTCTTGAGGAAAGACTGAATAACACTTACTAAAGAAATACAGAATGACAGTATAATTAGCTGTGACAAGTGCTGCAATGGCAGGGCATTGTGCCATCCCAGGAGCTAGTTTCCTGGGACCAACAACTGCTACAGAGGTGGCTGGAGCAATCCAGCTTTGTGACTCAGCAGCAACTACTTGGAAGGCCAGCCCCTGCACAGCAATGGTCAGGTTGGCGCCAGCCTCCAATGCAGCAACAAGCTCCTACCACAGCACCAGACTTGCAGCAGCAGCTTTTAAATGTTCTGCAGCAGATAGAAGCCCAGCAACCATCTCAGACCCCTCAACTGCCTCAGGCTATGAGCAGGGCACCAGCTTCGCGGCAGCAGATCTTAAATCAATTGCAGCAGCTAGGAGCCCAGCAGTCATCTCAGTCTCTTCAACCACGCCAGGCTACTAGCGGGGCACCAGACTCATCACAGCAAGTTGTCAATATCTTACAGCAGCTAGAAGCTCAACAGTCATCTTGCAGTCAGCAACCCTGGAATCAACACAGAGTAGAGACTTTGAGTGCAAGCCTAAGTCCATTGGAGACACAACAACTTCTGCTGGAGGGGTCCCAGGCAACACCACAGCCAACAAATCCATTTGACATGCGCGCATCAAGCAGCCGTGCTGCCAGACAGGCCCAGCATAGTGGCAATTGAGGCGCCCAAGCATCATCATCAAGTAGCCACATTCCTGGACAGCCTGAGCAAAGTGGTAGCAGGACTGACAAGTGTCAACTGACATCTCACCTGACCTGATTGACACCACCATTGTTTCTAGCCCCAGGAAATTATCAATCACCCTCTGTTGAGCTGGAGGCAAAGGAGTAGAGTGTCCAGTTTGATTTCTTATATCTTTCTGCCATTATGTGAGTTTTATCAGCTATCAGAATGTATGTAACTCAGTAGCTAGTGAATTTAGTATATCTATACATTATTTCACAATCACTTTTCTTCTGGCATCTTCTTTTTCTGCACTTCACAACCAAGTTCTTCCAAATACTTGTGCTGTTCCTTCACTATTGTATGCAGTTTGGCATTTTGCTGCTCAAGTCTCTCTACCAACTCCATCAACCTTTTCCTATTGGCCTTGCTATAATGATAGGTCACAAGGGTATGCTTTAAATTATTTAAAGCTTCTTGCGCGGCAGGATTGATATGGTATCCTTGTACTTGGGAATCTTGCAGATCCTGAGAGGGAGTTTCAGTGCCAGAGGGGGCCTTGCTTTCCAGTCAAGTTAGCATGCTGATGTAGTGACTAGTATTTTTCTGTGCTTGCCTGTCGGAGCTGATTACTATCCATAGGTATTTTCCTAAGGGCAGAATATCTATTAGTACAGATTATGATTGTGTTTGGGAGTTGAAAAGAAATTCTACACACCCGCGAAGTTTGTTGACTGAGAAAGTGGTAATAAATGTCTAACTAACATGCAATATAGGAGATGAACACAGGATATATTTTGATCATACCAGTAGTACCTGCTGGAATAACAGAATGAGACTATAGTGTCACATGATGAAAGAGAGATGCAGAGGCATGCAATGGTCAGCACTAAACTGGGCATTTTATCCTTGCCATTACTCTTTCAGGAAAGGAGACAGCCAGGATGCAAGGATAATAGAGAGAGACACAAGAAAACAAAACATATCACTACCCAACTCCCAAAAATCAGTTCTGGTTTGACAAATCACTGACAGTTTCTCCAATATGCTCTAGGAAGGGTTGGAGTTGCTTGATATAATTTGTCAGCTGGGTGATTTCCCTACAGGCATCAGTATGTGATCACTGGAATATGACTGAAGTATTTACTCATCCATGTTCTGAAGTCTGATTTCATTAGTAAAGTAACAGTTTGTCCAAAATTTGGGAATAGATGCCTATCCAGTTGTTAGGAGTTGAACCTGTTCAGAGAGGTTCTCAACCCTCTGTAAGAGCTCTTTCAGTAAGATATCAGGTGTTTCTGTAATGAGATCTGGAACCTTGATTTTCTCAAGAACTTCAGTATCTTCTATAACAGAAAGCATGGGATCAGCAGCTCCAGCTGAAAAAGCTGTGCTGCCAAAATCAAAGTTTGGATCAAGGAAAGTGAGGTCAAGGCAAGGGATGCCTAGACCTTCCTCTGAAGTGTTACCCAGCTGAATTGTGAGTTCCTTGAGCTCCTCATTAGTTAACTTGTCAATGTATTCCATTGTGAAGAGGAAGATGATATAAAAAAAACTTGAAAAAGTGATTCTTGTAAAGTATCACTTTGAGTTGATCTGAGATTTCTCAACAAATCCAGTGCCTGATGCAGGTTTATATGCAATCTGCTATGAATCAAATATGCATTTCTCCTGTTTGTAGGTTTTCACCCCCTCCCTAAGGGAAGCAGTTGCAATGGTGGATTTTTACTAGACTCTGCCTCTTGATGAGTGGGTCAGACCAAGAAACTGGGTGACAGGGAAGCATTACAGATAGAACCAGTAACATTGATCAGTGGCATGTACTTCTTTGGGGATGGGATATCTATTCCAGAACTCTGTGAATTTTCCAGCACAAATGGAGGATGGCATGCTGAAAATATAATCTATTCATAGCCTGGAAGTTGCTGAGCAGGACTCTCTCAAGAGACACCAGCCAAACACTCCTACTGAAAAATTAACTCCTCCAATCATATGTCAAGAATGGCATCCAGTCACAACAAGTGGTATTATAAGTGGGAAAAACCTATCTTGTCTCTCTGGTAGCCCAATAGTACTCATGGGGAACCATAATGGAGCTCTTCAACAGCCATGTTGACCCTGATTACCAATGAGGAGAAAGACCTCTGAGATCCCAGTGAAAGTACATTCAAAAGCATGATGTTGATAAGTTGGCTCATGAATCTGATGGCTCTGAACAAACTGAGGTAAGTCCAAAACATGTTGACTACAAATGCTTCTTGCAGATTGCACTCAGCTATTGGCTTAGGAATTGCTCTCCCAGCATCAGGACCTGATCATCTGGTGAATTAGGTGGAAATATGAGTTAATGTGGTAGACAAACCAGGGGGGTGATGCTGTGTTTTGTAGGAGGAGAAGCATTTACAAATGTTTTGGAAGATATAAATAGACACCATGATCAGTAGATGGGTGGCTCCTGAATATAAATACAAGATCACCAACCATCTTCAAGCAGCAGAATAAAACTTATGTCCAACACATTATCCTACAATGGCAGCAAATCAGGCTATCACCACCCAGCATGTAAGAATTGTTGAACTTCTAGCCCAACTATTATTGCTGACTGTACTTCAAGATCCCTTCATGACAAGTTGTTCTTGATATTAGTTACCTCTGGGCAGTCTTCGCGCGGGAGTCTAAAAATGCCCAATATATCATCCACCTTGAGAGGTTGTTGAATAAAGCCAGAGAGACAAATCAGTGTACACAAATCACCCATAATGAACTCCTTAAGAGATACAACCAACTTGATGAACATCACAAGCAGCTGGCAGAGCAGCATGAACATCTTCAAGAGATACATGCCAAGTCTTTGGCTACTAGAGGTGAGATTATTGACAAACTATCTGATGCCCTCAAGGCTCAAAAGCTTGCGGATGCAATGATCAAAATTTTGGAAGAGAAAGTCCAAATGTGCCAACGCGCTGCATACATGCATGACAATGATATGGGCGATGAGAATGTCTGATATGGTTATATAGTGGGGAGAAAGTCCTATCTTGAATTGGTGTGCTTTAAAATTTCTGTATCAAAATCAATCTGAGCACTGATGGAACTGGGGAGAAGCACTTGTGGTTACAAGATCATCTAAATAAGGTTTTTTAGGTTACCTGCTCGCCTAAACCCACTTGAAGAGCCGCGCGCTACTAATAACAGATATCATTGGTCCAACTAGTTAAACTTAGAAATTCAGCCACCAAACTACCTCACATTTGGTAAGATAGCAAAGGAAGAAAAAACTATGCCATAATAATGCTGCACTGAGTTTAGCATATAATCCAGAATTCAACTAGCAAAATATATGCATAAACAGGAAAGGTAGTTAAAGATGGGCACCTCAGCATTCACAAATGGTATAAAAGGTGCTGCAGGTGGGAGCAGTTGGTATATGTGTTGTGGGAGTACTGTCTGTACTTCAGGGGAAAGTTCAAGATGGCCTAGGAGTTTCTGTATAGAATACTCCTGGCAATACTGTGGAGAGGCCAGAGAGCAGCTGGTGTTGGTAAGAATAAGAATATCCTGATGCTGTCCATCATGGCAAAGTAGGTTATGGCCAAAGGATTGGTATACAGAGATATATGGGTCAAAGTCATAGTACCAGTATTTGAAACCAAGGGAGATTGTGAGTCTAAGTAAAGATGGGCAAGTTAGTGTACTTGGAACTGCAGATCTGATGAACTGTTGAATTAAGGTTTTAGTGCCATAGCAATAACCACTTACCCTTTGAACTCACTCTTAAGTTAGTAACAAGTGTAGATTTTTCCCAATGCCATAATCTACAGTGTACAGCTATGCACATACAGAGCTTTTCACCTTCAACCACACTACCTGAAATCACACTACTGAAATGTCTACCAGAGCAAATGCAAAGTGTTCTGATCTAAGATGGGAATGCTTTAAGGAGCTCTCTAAACATATTGGCATGTTTAATCAACCTTCCATGATGCATTATCACTAACACATTAACTTAAGAGGATACACTTGGAATTTGAATACTGCCAGACAAGATTAGGCTTATGCCAGCAAGCCACAATTCTTATTGTTGGAGAATCCAGAAAAAGTCAACAACCACACCTTCTCATCTTGATATGCTTTTCACCAAGCATTTAAGCAGACACTCAATCCAGACATTCAAACTACTATGTGATGGTGTTGGAAAGGCCTTTTATGCTGTCCCCACAAATGACAGTAGCTCTGATTGCCTGGAGCCAATTATACAACTGAATTCTGATGAGAAACCATCTCCTACTGCACCTTTACTTGAGGACCAGAATGGCCATAGTTTAGATGATGAAATTAGTCAATGGAGAGATATTACAGAAACTGCACAGAAGAAAAACCAAGCACTAGAGAGAGAGTTACAGCAGGCAAGAGAAACAAATGGACAGTTACAGAAACTGGTTCAGATGTATTTTAGAAAGACTAAACTTCTGGAAGGTGAGTTCCAGTCACATGTCAAGAGAATGCTTCAAGTGATGGGAACTTCCAGAAAGCACAAAGAACTTGAACCTCTGAAGTTTGCATAGCTAACTATATTTCTTCCTCCATACATGTGACTACTCCAAAAACAATTCAGAGCACTGGTGATGGCATGAAAGGACTTGTCAAGATCTGAGGTTGCTAGAGTAAACTTCTTAAAGTAATATTCTTCAAGAGTAGATGTTCATTTATCAAGCAGGTATATGTTCTGTCTTGCTAAGTTCAACAAAAGTCTGTATACACAATGGAAGAAGAGCAGCTGGGAATGGAAGTCCTGGACAGCAACATCATTTGGTTCCAGGCCTGCTGGATAGTTAAGGGCTTTCTCCAGTGAGAGAGAAGCCATTACAAGAAGACCTAAGCAGCAGTAGCCAACTCAGCCACTCCAAGAGCACTTATGATGGTTGTGGCTGCCAAAGGATGGGATTCCCAGGTGGTTGATTTTGTTACAGCCTTTCTCAACAGCCTGAAGAAGTTGTTGATGTACAACTACCAAGCAGAATTAAACATGACTGAGGCAAGGTAGTTGGAAGGCTTTGCCAGAGCCTGTATGGTTTGAAGCAGTCAGTGTGACTATGGTATTTCACCACAGTGGAATATCTCAAAGAAATTGACTTTCGCGTCAGTCCCTATGATGCCAGAATGCTCATCCACAAGACTAGGGCTTTATACTTGATGCTTCATGTTGATGACTGCCAAATGACAGGTCCTAATATTGAAGACCTGAACTGCAATTTTAAAGAGATTTGAGGTCAAAGATGTTGTTCTGATACACCCTATTTAGGGATGGAACTTGTAGAGCAACCAGATGGCTCAATATTCATCAGCCAGAAATGCTATATTGACAAGATCCTCAGAGAATTCAGAATGGAGAAGTGTAATGCTGTCAAAGTCCCAATGAATAAAGGGATGAAGATCAAGTTTACCCCAGGCAAGGATCCCAGCCTAGATGACAAATTCACCCATGCAAACTACTGGAAGGGAACTGGAAGTTTTCAATATTCAGTTACAAACACCAGGCCTGACACTGCATTCACGGTTAACTACCTCACTCACCTTAACAAACATCTGAACAAGGACTGCTGGTCAGCACTTAAGCAAGTCCTACAATATTTACAAGGAACCAAAGGCCTAGGGCTTTGCTACTGTGTCAGAGAGAAAGAAGGCCTAACTAGTTAACTTAACTAACATAATGTCAAAGGCTTAGTCAGATTCCAATTGGGCTGGAGCACATCCCTCATTCAAGTCAACTTCAAGCTTTGTCATACTAATGAATGGAACGCCGGTCAGTTGGAGAACTGAGAAGCAAAAGAGTGTGTCAAAATCAAATACCAAGATTGAGTATATAAGTGCTTCTGACAAGCTGGAAGACACCAGACTAGTCCCCAGAGCCAAAGGCTCAATGCAATGACAGACCTACAAGTCAATAACCAAGGGTGCAATCAGTTTAACAAATACAGAAGCAGTGACTAGGAGGTCCTGTCATATTGAGATTTGCCACCACCTTATTATAGACTACATGTCCACCTTTCTGAATGGAACCCCTAACCGAGGATGAAGATATATATGTGAAACTACCTACTGGGGTTAAGCATGGCCGCAGCAAGCTTGTGGGACTCCTATGCCAAAGCCTGTACAGACTCAAGCAAGCTGCGCAAGTATGGTATCATACTGCCACTGAACACCTAAAGTCTATAGGATTTCAGATATCAACATATGATGCTGGACTACTGATTCACAAATCTAAGCTAATCTACATGGCGCTACATGTGGATGACTACCGCATAACTAGACCTAATCAAGAAGATATTGACTGGGTAGTACAGCAGATAGCTACTAAGTTTGAAATCAAGGATATCAACAGCAGCAAGCCTTACCTAGGCATGGAGATAGAGAAGCTAGCCAGTGGAGACCTAGCTATCTCACAGAAACAATATATTGACAAACTACTTACTGAGTTCAGCATGGAAGACTGTACACCAAAGGACACCCCTATAGAGAAAGGCCTGCAAATCAAATTCTCCCCGGATGAGAACTATCAAGACCTAGATAAAGATTTTACACCTACCAACTACCGCAAGGGGAGAGGTTCACTACAGTACCTAATAACCTGCCCACACCCGGATATAGCATATGCAACCAACTACCTAGCACACTTCAATTCCCAACCCAACCAAGCAGCCTGGCTGGCACTCAAGCGCGTCCTACAACACCTTAAAGGCACAAAGAATAAGGGAATAATATATAGAGCAAAAGAGAGTGAGAAGGACTACAACAAACAGCCTGCTCAGATTCAGACTGGGCAGGAGCTGACCCAGCCTACAAGTCAACCTCTGGCTATGTTATTACAATGAGCAGAGCCACTATCTTATGGCACTCACAGCAGCAGACCTCCATCTCTAAGTCCTCTACTGAAGCCAAGTATATCAGTGCATCTGAGGCCGCGTGTGAACTTGTATGGCTGAACAATCTACTACTCAATGCAGGGATTCTTACCCAGGCCCCTAGACCCCTACCCACCTCAAAGCTCCAAATTGACAATAAGGGAGCGGTTGACCTAGTAAAGACAGAAGCCCTGACTAGACACTCACAGAATATAGAGATCCACCACCATATAATCCGCAATTTGGCAAACAAGGGTGAAATTGAGGTTGAGCACATTGCGGGAACGGCCAACCAAGCTGATCTTGTGGTGATGAACCATCACTTCTCACTAAGAGTGCAAGGTTTTGAGATTCAAGGTTTGATATCTTCATCTCAGATGTCATTGCACCCTTTCCTTGATCTATTATCCATGCTGCCGCTGCCACTCCTCTGTGCATGTCTCACACCACTCAACAACCTTCACCAGGCCCGTCAAGTTTTGTTGTAGACAGTTCACTTGTTGTCAAGGCGCGCATGGCATTATCATCTCGCGCGGCATGAGATGTGCTTACTGGGAATCAATCTGCACCATACTGTTGACATCAAGCACATTCTAAGTCACACTGGATGAGTGCTATACCTGCTCTCTCCCTCTCGGACAATAGCATCCATCAGAGATTTATTTTTCACATTTATTGCATGTTTGAAATCTTGCATTTGCTTCACAGCATTTTTGTTCCTCTCATGGAGCACCATGTTTGTCTCTCCAAGATGATTGATACAAACCACAAGTTGTTCCCTTTGGCCACACTACTGTTTAGCTGAAGTGTCAAGTAGTTGCCATGCTGTTGCATGTCAACCATGGCCTTCTCAGCTTTGGCTGCCCGATTTTTGATAGTGTTATTGCACTGCTTCTGGTTTGCAAGCTCTTCCCTCAGAGAAATGATTTTGGCATCACATGACTGGACTCATTCTTTTGCGCTCTTTTTTCTCAACTTTGCCCCGCTTGTTGCCTTTGCCAATCTCAAACAAATATAAGAAAGCTCCTTGGCATGGCCGCTCAATGTTGCTTGTAATCTTGCCACTTCATCATAATGCAACTCCTCCAGACACTCAATCACTGCCAGCTGTTTGGTGGAGATATCACCATGAGGAGAGATCAACAGCACAGACACTGAGCATCACAAAGAGAGTGAGAGTTTTGCATTTGAACCAGACAGGCAATACTGTCCTGGTTGGTCCATCAGGGTAACAAAGCTTGAAGACAGCATGAAGCTTTACTACAAGGCATTGGAGGTTAGCAAAGTGATAAACTTTCTGGTTAACATGTTTGACACATCACAAAATAGAGTGGTTGGGGGTTTCTCATTGAGCATGAGCACAGGAATCAAGGAAAGAAGATGAAGGGCAGAATGAAGACCCTGAAATTGGCAGCACACCCAGGCATCTCTATAGGTCATGGGTTCCAAGACTATACCCACATGCAGCAGCCATTTTTCAAATGTGACATATTGCAAGTCCACTAACAGAGATGGGTAAGCAAAGGCATGATGCTTGACATGGCTTTCAGGAATGAAAATCTACATGAGTGGACAACAGAGAGTCCACCCTAATCAGCAATTTTCTGACAGCAACCAAAATTTATCCTGATTCATTGTTCTTTCCAGCTCAGTCCTATTTCCTGTTTCCTGGTATTCCCTCCAGTAGCACTGCAAATGTGGATTCCATACTCTCCAATGAGCATACTCTTTGGTTTGTGGACATGGGCGGTTTCATACCACTTCAATATCAAGCTGCTTGTTTCCAGAACTCAGCAGCTGTTGGAAATCATGGGGAAAAGCATCCATGCCTGCAGTTTGTCTTGTCAGCCTTGAAATGAAGATGAAGTTGTACAGAGTATGGAACTTCCAATAGTCAAACCTCTCTCTGGTCCAGTGTTCCAATCTCACCAACACTTCCACACCAAGTAAGATTTCACAGGCTGGGTCAGCACTGAATTCAGTGATGCTCTGAGGGGAGATCCCAAGGGTGCGTACAGAGTGCTGCAAGGTAGATAGTGGTCTTTCCTTTTGAATATCCGGGCTAAGGTTATTCCGACCAATCTAATGACAGCACTCATGGGGCACATCTTTGCTCTTTGAAAGAAACTTGGGACTCTAGTTTGTTTTCACAAAATTTGATGATTTAGATACTGTACTTACATCCCCAAGTTGAAATGTCAGACTGCAATCCATCTTTGTGTTGAGCCTCCAAAATGACCACCAATGACTACTAGCTATTACAGTTGAGCTTTCAATAAAGGCTCAAGGAAAATTAGGATATCCAAAGAAGCTGCAGCCCTTCGTTGCCTTTTAGAAGAAGAAAAGAGGTTACAAGAGGAAGAAACCAAGTTACAAGAGGAAGAAAAGAAGCAGCAGCTAGACACCAAACAACATTTACACACAACACAAGAGGAGTTGCAGAGCACAGCACAGAATCTTCAAGAAGAGAGAGAACAGAGAAAGTTACAAGAAGAACTACAACAGAAAACCACTATTTTCAAATTTCTTGACACATGCCATACCCATTTGTTCCTTGGCCTTACAGTTAGACACCCTAAAGACTCAACAAAGGGTGATCTGGCGAACCCAGTTGGCAGACTTTGACCAGAGAAAATTCAGAAATGGCTGGGTTTTGGGGCAGAACAAGAGGAAATTTGGCAGGGTCTTATGGACTCGAATTTTGTTCAAAATCAGCATTTCAAATCACTATCTTTATTAGCAGAATCCGGGGCAGAGTTGCATACTGAGAAAACAGGATCTGAATTAGATCTTCAACAGTTCCAGCATGAGACCCTCACACGGCCCATCCATTCAGTAATTGCAAAGCTATATTCAGATGAGCACATCCAGCAGCACTTTCAATTGCTTGGGGCAATCACCTTTGAGAATCATGGAAATACCCTAACTGAAGAGTCTCTTGAAGCTGCCCCATCCAACAAACCCTCATGGCCAGCAAAATTCCAAAAGACTGGCACCAGAGATGCCACGCCCGCCAGTACACCACAGTCATCTCGCTCATTGGCTGACAAATTTTGTGTATATAATAAAGGAGACAGTCAAAATGTTCCTGTATATATCATGGAGCTGAAGGCCCCTCATAAAGTTCCACAGTCAACAATCAAATCTACCCTGCAGGAAATGGACTTGGATGAAGTGATTGTGCACAGGCCAGATGAGCCCAATAAGGTTGCATGCCACCATGAGATGGCTGCTGATCACTCAGGCATTCTCCTACATGGTCAAATCCAGAGTAGGATACAGGTATGTGTGCACCGGGGAAGCTTTCATCTTCCTACACATGGGTTTGGATCCAAGTACCGTATTCTACTACCTCTCAACCCCAAAGAACAATGTGAGAGACACCAACAGATATACAGACCAAACTGATCAACCCAACCAGCTTCATCTAACTGCCATCAGTCAGGTGCTTGCTTTCACACTCAGGGCACTACAGGCAAAACTGTATCCCCAGTCTTGGCAAGATGGGGCAGAGTCTTGACTGAAGCACTGGTGTCTCATCTATCAGGATGAGACCATCCTGTCCTCCCCACAGACAGTGTCTACACAGGATTACACACCAGAATGGGAAAGTCAAGATGACTATCTCAAGCACTCTCCTATCATCACAAGGGCAAAGAAGGCTCCGTTGTTTCATCCTTCATCACCATGTAACCCACCTCAGGCGTCGCGAAGTCCTGCAAACAGCAGTGATGAAGATACTTCTGATCCAACAGGTTCCTTAAGCAAAGCGCCACAGCACTCAGCCAATGTTATGGTTGTAGTCCCCACTCACTCCAGCAAGATGTCATCCGAAAGAAACTCCACCAGCCAGATTAGATCACAGCCATACTGCACCCAATGGTGCCTCCTCAGACTCTCCAAAGGAGGGCCATTGGACCAGGATTGCCCCAATATTGCTGACCATGGCACTGACAAACATCCAATCAGTCTATCTGAATTTGTATCTCTCCTTCACAAAAGGCTTTCATACCAGGATAACCACCATTATGGTGCATACAAGTCCACTGGATGTGAATCTCTCCACATTCATGGCTCCCGCGGGGCATTGTTCGAGATCATCCTTATTCAATATGGGTATAAGCTGGTGGGGAAAGGCTTTCCAGCCAATTTCACTCAATATTTACAGCAGGAGGAAGCTGTTTACAAGCACCTTCTCCCCATACAGGGACAACACATCCCCATGTGTCTTGGTGTTCTGGATCTTTCCCAGCAACAGCTATTCTATAATGGAATTGCAAGAATACCCCATCTCCTTCTTCTCAGCCATGCTGGACTTCCCCTTCACCAGTCTGATATTGACCATGAACATCTCTTTCGGGCAGCCAAGGAGTCACTTCAAGCAATTCACAAGCTCAGGGTTCATCATTGCAATACCTATACCCATAACATGTTCTGGAACCCAGAGAATGAAAAGGTGATTTTTATTGACTTCAAGCAAGCAGAAATCCAGAATCTCAGATTCCTTTTCAAGACTACATCATTAGAACAAAGGTGGAAGGAGCAGGATACAACAAAACAAGCACAGACCACTGGAATGCTTAGTTATGAGATGCAGAGAATGTGTTTCAATCTCAAATGCAAACTTACATACCTTAGCTGATCACTGTGCCAGCCACAATGTCTGCATATAGAATTGAAGGATCTTCTCTCTGAACCCCAGGACATTGTTTTCTATTGTCAGATCATCAAATCAAACATTATCTCTACTGATGATGAAGAAAAATCAAAATATAATGCCACGCGCTTTGCTAGGTCAGCTATTGTACAGAAATACCATGTGATGATCCAAGAGGGCTTGAATACCCATATCTGACCACAGGCCTGGGGAATGTACAACTGCATGTCCTCTTCAATAATCCAACCACCCTTTATCATGATCTAAGCGCGCTTCACTTGGATATAAGCTAAAAACCAAGATTGAAAGAGTGATGCGCCTCTGCCTGATGAGTTGTGCAACTAAGAGTGATCAGGTCCAGGGGGGAATACCTGATCCCACCAAACCAAAGAAAGAAACTAACAGAGTCAAGAACAAGACCATGCATCCTGCTGGAATACAAAGATAGCACCAACTACTGTATCTTGCTGGAGAACAGAAGAATCATTGGGACTCCAAATGCTGAATTCCATGCAATCCTTACAACTCCCCCCACGCAGACAAGACAAGACATGGAAGCCAGACTGAACAGCTTACCTGAGGCAACAGCTGCTGCTGCAGGGGGGACCAAGACAACAGGACTACTGAACCAATCATCTGTAAGCATACAGCTCACATCCATACCAGCCTCTGGACACCCAATGTCAATGGCACCACCAGAGCAGATGCTGCCTCAGTTAAGTGATGATGACTCACAGCCCACTGCTGCTGAACAGGAAGATAGGACCTTGTCACCAGCACAGAGTGACACCTCTGGATCCTTCTCAGGAACAACCCCAGACATTTTCCAGAGAGATGACTCACCATCTAGCAGTGACCAGCAACAGGACAACACTGCACAATGAGTGCAGTCAAGTGACAATGACTCACTGCCCACCACTGCTGAACAGGGAGATAGAACCTTGTCATTTACACAGAGTGAGACCTCTGGATCCCCCTCAGGCACTGCATGAGATGGTCTCCAAAGGAACAACTCACTGTCCAGCAATGACCAGCAACAGGGCAACACTCAGTTATATCAAGCTTTGGAAAATTCAGAACTCCAACTTGACCAATCAACTCATGTCATGCAGCCAGAAGCACTAGAAAAACACCCTGAACTCAGGATTCATGACCCACAGGGCACAGAGGATATGCTCAACAATAGTGAGGAAAACCTTGCACTGATGAGCATACCCAAAGCAAATATAATCCCAACATTCTTAACCATGGCCACAGAGGAAACAGAACCCTTTGAACCAAAAATCATCCAGCATGCAAAGAACAACACAAGCTGGCCCAAATGGGAAAAAGCAATGCTTGAGGAAGTCAACTCACTCAGACAAAACAAGACATGGCAGCTCATCAAGCCTCCCAAAGACTGACAGACACTTAGCAGAAAGTGGGTCTTCAAAATCAAACAAGAACCAAACAGAGAAGTCATCCACCACAAGACAAGATGGGTGGTCAGAGGATTCACACAGGAAGAGGGTGTTGACTACAACAAAACTTTCACCTTGATTGTCAAGCCAATGAGCTACAAGACAATCTTTGCAATCAGCACTGCTCTAGGACTTGAGATCAAACAGATGGATGTCAAGACCACATTCCTGTACAGCAACCACAAGATCTACATCAAACAGCCTCACCACATGACCAACAACACCCCAAGGGTCTGCAAGCTTCAAAAGGCACTCTACAGTTTGAAGCAAGCACCCCATATCTGGTATCAGACACTCACAAACTTCTTGCACAATCTTGGCTTTGAACCAATCAGCACTGACCTCAGCATCTTCATGCAAAGCAATATGTACATCACAGTGTATGTCAATGACCTTCTGATTGTAGGACCAAGCATTGCAGAGATAAAGAAGATCAAGAGAGCCCTCAGGAACCATTTTCAGATGGCAGATCTTGGGCCCTGCAGTTACTATCTAGGGATGTCAGTCCAGCACAATCACCAAAATTAGATACTGTACCTGAGTCAAGAGGCCTACATCAACAAGGTGATTCACCAATTTGGAATCAGCAATTGCACTCCCATCAGCATGCCTGTTAAGACCTCACCACTGCCAGACAACAACCCAGGATACAGCTGCCCTCCAGGCCGAAGAACTGAATATCAGCACATCATAGGTTCGCTCATGTACATCATGCTTGGGATGAGGGGGGACATAGCATATGCAGTCTCCATGACAAGCAGACATCTGGCAAACCCCAGACCACAGCACATGAAACTCACACAGCACATCCTGCAGTACCTCAAAGGCACAAAGGGCCTCAGACTCACATACAAGGGCCATCCCCAGATGCTGAAAGGCTTCACAGACACAGACTAGGCCAGATGCCAGAACACATGCTGATTGATGGCTGGATATCTCTTCAACATCAGGAGCAGAGCAATCAGCTGGCAATCCAAGTGTCAGAGTGTTGTTGCACTATCAACCTGTGAGGCTGAATTCCTCAGACAGACCCAAGCAACTAAGGAAGCAGTCTGGCTGAGGAGACTCCTCAATGAATTGAATATGAGTCAAGAGAAAGCTGCAACAATTATCTGCAGTGACAACCAAGGAGCCATTGCTCTGGCCTCAAATCCACAATACCACTCACACACAAAACATATGGATATCCAGCAAAAGTGGCAAGGAGAACTACAAGATACTGAAATGGCTGAACTGAAGTACATCCCAACTGCAGAATAACTTGCTGATGGGTTCACCAAGCCCTTGCGCGAGATCACTTTGAATGGTTCTGGAAAGGGCTTGGCATTGAGTGACACCAATAACTAGACTAAAGGGTTCCCTTTCCTTCTTCAAAGCTTTTCCTTAAAAAGGTTTTTTCTTTGAAAAGATTTTAATGGGGCCCACTGCAACCATGATGAATTGTCACTGACATCCCTTAATGGGGGTTGCCATCAAGTGGGAGTGTTAAATATCACAGTGACTGTGATCAAGTCATTGTCACTCTAGATGGAACACATGATAGGATCTGAGACCATTGTGGGTTTCACATATATATATATATATAAGGTGGTCCCTCAACCAGAGAATAGATTAATCAATCCAACCATCACAATGAACACATTACTATCACTTATTTCAACAATTAACATCAAGCATCATTAATGTTGTTCTATAGATAACATTGAAACAATTATAATATTCTCTCCATAGAAATATTGTGAGACTGTTAATATTGAGCACCAGCAATGTTGTGCCATCATTAATATTATGCAGGCATTTTGTAAAATATTCTTCAAAAATTGTAAATTCTCAAAATGTGACAATGGTAGATGGTTTCATCATGCCCCAGCACAATTAGTAAGCACAGATGTAGAAATCACATGATAACTAACTAGTTACTAGGTGACTTTAGCATAAATAATATAGTAATCCATTTCTTCTGTTTCTTTGTTGACATGGCTTCATTAGTTATACATAAAGGTTGGTCATGGGAAAATAATGATATATAAGCTATCTCTAATGACATTTATTCCAGTACATTGTTAAGTGGTACCAGGCCTTACAAAATTGAAGCTGAGCTGATCTTGCTGCACAGATAAAACTACAAGATCCTTTCAGCAGTGATATTATGGACATTCAACACTTAGAATCAGTGCTATTTTTGATTCAACAGGAATTTCATAAAATATTATGTTATAATTGCAATTTTTGGAAAGTGAAATTGTCAAATTTTCTCTTTCACCACTACATGAGATTGACAAACAGGAAGAAGGCACACTATCTGCTTTATGGATCACAACATTTTTCAATGACTGGTATACAGGATCACAACAAATATCTATCTTGAAATAGCCCAGAATCTCTGCTTTATCAAGTTTATCATATTTTCTCATCAAGCTGTCAAGATTCTCTTCTGCACATATCTAAAACAATTGCACAATTATTTTATAGACTAGTAAAAAGATGAAAGGCACAGCAAGAATACATTTACTGGCAATTTTTTATTCTGTAATCAGCTATTATTGTCTGCAAATTTTCTGCTTTGATTTCTAGAGCTTGCTTGAGCTAGAATTATCCAGTCTAAAATTATTAGTGACACTTTTAATCATTACATTAAATAATAGACTGGTTTGGCCTGCAATTGTCATGGCCTTGCAAAGAAGAGAAAGTCAGGTGGCTGAGCTCAGATATAGACTATAAATACAAGTCACTTTCTTCTTAAATCTATCTTGCAATTCTCTTCTCACATCTGCCAGTCCAGTGGACTCTTTTCAACAATGGTAATAACATACAGCAAGTACAAGATAACTGGTCTTGCTTTGCTTTCTGACCATCTGTATGTCACAAAGTACATCAACTCTTAATATATCCAGCATGACAGTGACACTTCAATTAAATTCTAAAGTGGTGCTGGAGAAAGTGTGGGTATACAGATCATACAAGATAAGAAGCATTACCAGATTTTATGTTTCTTCAACAGTATACTGACATGCTACAGATGAATCAGAGAATGCTGTATTCTTGAAAACGAAAATAGAGTACAGTAAGTCTTTCTTATACAGTTACAGGCCACAAGCTAAAGATTTTCAGTGCATAAGATGATAGTATTCTTTAAAGACAATCAGAACAAATCTACCAGTCAGTCTACTAAAGCTGTTGAACCAGTTGAAGTTAAAACAGAGGGTACTGATGATCAAGAAGAAGCATCTATAGTTGATATTGATAATCAGAGTAGATTACATAGTTCTACCCCCCAGATCTGCACTGATGCACCTGCAGGTGATATTACTATTATAGTGAAAGAAATCTCTGATCCAGCTGAGTCAAGCCTTCATGAAGAAGAGTTCTCTTCTGATGAATTGCAGACCAATAATATTCTGCCTAAAATATATCTAGATAATGGGCAGGTTGAAGATCTGAACCTGAATATCATCACATGCTTGATTAGAAATGAATGAACAGTGGAGGTGGATAATTATTTCAAGCTGTGGCACTGCCCACACTATAACATTAAGAAAATTCTGTATACTGTCTCTGATGCTTGCTGAATGCTTCCAATGCATTTTGAGAACTGTAAAAAAGTAAAATAGAAGTTAAAAAAGATGATAGAATGTGCCTCTATTGAATAAGTAGCTGGTTGCTGTGCAAGCCTTCTCCAGCATGTTATCTCTGTAAAGCAGAAAGATTCAAACAAACTTGAGATCTAGTACTTTATGCACTGGAAAAAATACTGGTTTGCTGAGAGCTTCTTATATTATAATGCATACAGTTCATAATGACTATATTCATCTAATTGTGCAGTGCACAGACAATCTCCATTTAATTACTTTTATTGCATGCATGTGGTGTTTTTAGAAATTCTATTCTACAGTTTGGTGATATCTACAGCACCATAACTGAATACAGATTCACACAACTTTGTGTTTTATTCTATTTTACAGCTTCCATTCTTGAAGAATGAAGTTCATACAGCTTTTCTTCACATCTGTGATGATGCTTTTACAGCTTGCCTATATCTGTCACTTGAAGTCTTGGCTCATCTTGTTCAGCAAATAATAAGACTGTATGCTTCAAAATAGCTGCTTGATTTAACTGGCTCTCTAATTCTCTGAAAGTAAAGTGCATCAGAAAAGTAAATTTAATAATTTCAATGGTTACATACTTAGCAATTGATGGACAGTTATGTGCCTGGTAAAGCTCACCATCTGTAATTATACTTATAATTTGTCTCACTTGAAAGTGCCTGTAAATGTTTTGATATATTAAGACAAAGATATTAAAGAACAGACCTGTGAAGATCTTGCTTCTAATTGTTCTTCATTATGTCTGGAATCTGGTTGATAGCTTCCAAAAGTAGATATAATATTAGTTTGTGCATTTGTGGTAGTATTCTGTACTGAAGTGCTAGTTGCATTAGATATAGAAGTGTTCTGAGTGAAAATACTGTCATTATTAAATTGTGAATGAAGACATGTTTGCTACTGGTCAGTATACAGTCTAGATATGAGTGGTTACTCTTGCTATCTGGCATGTTCTCTTCTTTAGTGAAAGTGGACAGAGGACCTCAGTATATGTATATAGTTCATCTTGAATTCTAGTGTTGTAAGCTTTGTATTTTTGCACTCCTGCTTTCACTCCACCATGAATATATTATATGTTCTCACTCTATTGTCTCTGTCTTTGTGATGAATAATAGGATTTCTGATGCTATTTCATGTTGTCTGATGATTTGAATGCTCTCTTGCAGTCTGGATATTAATATGGTCACTCTTTTGAATCTGCATGAATATCAGACCTGTTTTTTTTTAGCAAGAGGGTGATTGCTTCTCTTACAGATTCCATATGCTGTTTCAAATTTCTTGAGTTTTTAAAAGCTCTTTTGCAGTCTGGGCATTAATATAATTGATTATTCAAATCTGCATGGGTGTCAAGCCTGCTTCCCCTATAACTTTACAGATGATCTCTCAAACAGAAGACTTGATCAGATGCTGATGTTATTGAGTGCTGGCTGTGCTGAACTGGTTGCTCATCAGAGTCTAGAAGTCAGAATGAGCTTGTAGACCATGCTAGCAGACAGCAGTTAGAACATACAGTAGATATTCAAAAGTGAAATGGCAAGACTCATCAAGCCTAAAACAGTATGGGCAGAAAGAAAAAAGAGATGCCCATCAGTAAAATTACTGCATCAAGAAGACATGGCCTGTACTGAGAGTGCTGGCTTAGAGAGAAGTCATTATCTACTCTGTCTGGATTCTATGTATTCAGTAGAATACAGATGTCATACTGATATGTCTTGCAGAAACATTCCACTCTTGTACTCATAATAAATTGAGAATTCTTCTTCTTTGAATGTAAGTCTTATACTTTTCACCTGAAATTAGCTTGAAATACTTCTTCTCTTCAGTACTTCTCTTGATACAATCTCATTTTCTTATTTCAATCTCATCTTGTACTCCACACATTTCAACCTGCAAGTCACATATAATGTGCAGAAGAGGTGTTTCTCATCACATTTTATATGTCACAAGTAACATGTCCAGCATCTAGTGTGAGAGCAGGTTCTAGACTTGAGGCTATTAGACAGATGCTAAGCATACATTGTCTAATAATAATGCTTGTCTGTTTCCATCTTACTTTATTGTATGTCAAGATAAGACTTGTCTGATGCCAGCAGCAGCAGTGATGGTGGACCTGAAGTTGATGCTGTAAATTCACTTTTAGAATCTGACAGTTCCAGATATGTGATAGAAAGAACCAGAAGAATATATGTTCTTTTGTTATACCAGTCTGTATCATAATAATTTATTGCAGTCAGAGAAATAGGTATTGATGTTTCTGAGATATGAAAGATAAGCTAGTAAAAATATGCAGCAGGGACATACAATGCTGAAGAAAACCAGTTATGAATCAGATAAGAAAAAAGATATAAATATTTCTTGTCACAGTTTAGAAGATTCTTGAGATTTGGAAACTTCTGTAATGTTATATGCAGCCCTGCTCATTCCTTATAGAGTCAAGAAGAGAATATTGTATCAGAATTGGTGAGACTCTACTCTTATAAAATCAAATTATCAATCACAATTCAGTCTGGATACTGAGAGCAGGATCCATCTTTATATGCAATCAGTCTGAACTTGGCACAGAGAATAATGCATGATGTAATCCAGCATCTTAAAGACAGGAAGCATTGCATATTGTTAGCTGATAAATCAATTAAATTGGTGAAACAAACCAGAGAAAAATAGCTTGTTCTTCAGATCAAAAGAGATAAAGAAAAGAGATATCTAGCCATGATTGAGAAGCAACACCCCCCATATCACAGTAGTCAAGAGAAGATCCAAAAAATTAAGCATCCACAAGCTAGACAGCATTACTCTACAGACTACAACTATCACCCAGCCTCTGAAAGACAGATTCTCAGACCTATAGAGCTTAGTTGAGTATCTCAGTAGTGTGACTATGAACTTGTCATTCATGGCTAGCATCACACAGTAAAAAACGCCAGCTGCATGAAGCATGAAGACTGTCAGCATTCTGGCAATAACTTGATGCAAAATATTGGGAACATGTTTAATAATACACCACTCATTGTAGAAGGAAGAAGTTGGTCCCAATAGAAGAAGATAAAATTATAGCAGAATCATCATAACTTCATATTAATGAAGATTTTGAAAGAACTCAGGCCTAATACTTCTGGCCAAAAAAGCATCTAAAGATAAAATCAACTTATAAAGAACTGAATCTGCATCTCTAAATTTCATTCTGCCCTTTATTCTGTTTCAAGCCACTCAGGAAAATCTTCTGAGGACTTTGCCTTCCAGAGAGAACAGCATCCCAAACTTAGAAATCATGAAATAATTCACAAATTATTTCTTCAACTCATCATCAGACTATAGATTGCACTCAAGATCCACCAGCAAGTTAACTGAACTGATTTAAATCACTCCAGTTGTTCAGGCATTCATAAGAGTGGTAGTTGCCAGAGTGCAGTTTCTAAATCCAGAGCTGAAATTTCTTGAAGCTCTTCAATGTCAAGAAAGTCAGAATGTACTGATAATTGAGAAATCAACACAGAAGAAAGAATTTTTTGAGTATAAGATGTAATTTTCCAGCAGATATCTGCTCAATTGTATATATTGATGAAGCTCAAGACAGCAAAAGATTCAAGCAGAGGTAGTAGAATAATGATGACTTGCTGAAACATGCTATAGTTGAAGAGGCAGGGTGGCTCCAAATTCATATTCATTAGAATTCCCATTGTTGCTCAAGCCTGTAGAATCTTGTTATTATCTATAGTTGAAGAGGGAGGTGAAGATGTTCTTTTCTTTGCTATATATTATGGCAGTCCAGCCAATTCTGCAGGGTAGTCTTTCATACTTGAGTGAAAGTAGAATAGATAGCTATTAGAAGAAGCATGAAGTGAACAACCTCAAGAAGCAAATTTAAGAGACTCATATACAATACAACAGCAACTTCTCTCCATCACAATTCTACTGTCTTGTAACAATATCTTGATTTCTGCAGTTGGAAGGCAGATCACATCAAGAAGCATATCACTCCAGTAATTCTGGCCACCAGAGTTGTGACACCAGAGAGCAACAAGATTGCTAATTATGAGGCCCTGAGTCTTCTCAAAATGGCAGTCCCATGGGTAATAATATGCTTTTTGAAGTGTTGTCTGCAGAAGTTGGGCAACATTATCCAAAACCTGCAGGAGAATTAGATGCATATGTTGCATGGATTTCAGCTGCATGAAGCCAGAAAGACATCAGATAATGGAGAATAATTTGAATGATTGGCAGCAGCAAATGCTGGAAGATGTGCTGTTGGATCTCTGACCACAATAAATGCTCTGTCATAAAACAGTCCAGGTGCTACAAGTGACAGCCATTCCAGCCCCTTGTTACCAAGTGCCTCCCATGGTATCAAAGTGTAGATGTCACCACCTGGGCCACTGGAAGGGGCCTGAACAGAACCTGTATGATGGCTGGAGTTGTTACTGCTGTGTTTGAGATCAGAATGTGATGTGGCCATCACAATGGCAGATCAGTTGGGATCAGAAAAGTTGTTTTAAGCTCAAAATCATGTAATGTATTAAGTAACATTTCAGGCTTTGGCACAAGTGACTGAGAAAACAACTAATGAAGGTTTATGAAAAGCAAGCATGCAAAAAGAAGACAACATCATCTATAAATAACTCCAGAGAATGAAAAAGAGCAAAGGAAATATAGTAATATATAAATTAGTATGTGTCTGGAGGAACACTAGACACAAGAGAATCTGCAGAAGGGACCTAAACCTAAATGAATAGAGTGAATATAACAAGATGTTAGTTCAGATATTTTAAATTAAATTAAACCTGAGAGAAACAAAAAGAGCTTGTGGAAAAGTATGGCTTAACATTGTCAATGGTGAATTCAAGATTACTAGATGAACATGAGAGACAATAGTAAAGTGGTAGTATTGCTAGAATCAGAATGCTGTCCCTGATCTTTTGTTGATAGCAACTGGATGGAACAATGCTAGCAGATGTAGAAAGCCATAGTGAATAATATCAGTCTAGCTGGATGATTGGACTCTATGCCTGCAAACTGAAAGGTAGTATAGCCAGTACTGAGGAAAATAAGTATGGCACAAAAGCTTCTGTCTCTTCAGAATATTCTGATTGCTGGTTGGAGAGTGAAGTTCTCAGAAGACAGCCAACATACTAGCCTCTGAGCAAAGCAGAAGAAGAGAACAGCTTCAAATCTGTGCAGTATCAAGATAAGAGTAAAAAGATTAGGGAAAAAGAACAGAGAGACCATAATACACACTCAGAGTTCTTCCAGAGCCCAAATGCTTTATTAGACTCAGAGATACAGCAAATCTTGGAGATTCAAACTGCTGGTTATGAGACTGAGGTTGAGAATCTGACATAAAGTTAACCTGATGTTATTGAGAAAAAGACAGATTGCACACACTTCACTCTGGAAGTGAAAGATGATGGAGAGCCCCAACAGCAGCTGACCTACTCAGGCATGCTCTAGTAGATTAGCATTAGTAGAGACAAAGCTGCTTCAAACTCACTTTTAACAAAATACAGCACAACATATGCAGCCAAATATATAATATGCAGAATTAATCTGAGATGAATAGTTCATCTGATGTGTTGACATTCAGAATATTACAGCAGGAAAATTGCAATCCACACAGCACAAAATACAGTGGCAACAGCTTTAATCAGAGCATGCAGGCTATACATGATGGCTTGAAATAGAAGATAGTCAGCTGATAGATTTTGCCTAAATATAAACAGACAGTGAGAGTCTTTTTATAATTTGTAGCTATAAATTATCCAAGTTAAGTGCAATTAATCATAAACCAGATTCAGATGCACCATATTATCTGAATTTCTCTTTAATCTTGGCAAGTAATTGAATCTAATATATTCTTCATCTGAAAATCATGAATAGTTGCATGGCTCAAGCATGTCCATGGCTCAAGCTATCTTTCTCAGAAGTAGCCAGAGATGAAGAACCATGCCATGAATCATTACTTGTTTTAATATTTCAAGAATAGTAAAATTAAGTTCAAGAGATGAAGCAAGTGGAGTACTGCTATACTATTGCAAGAGATACAGTCAATTTATGGAAAGATTGTTGAGATCTTAAGATTAAGAAGCAGGAATAGAAATGACATGAGAAGAGAACAAGAGTAGAGATAAAGTATGGACCTAATTTAAACTTACAGTCTGCTTGAAAGCCCTAATGTGCTCATATTCTGAAGAATATGCTATTTTCAGCTACAAGTTCTGACACTAGAGAAATAACACAGCAGAACAGAGTTGATTCAGCACATCTGATTGTGCAACTTTCAAGACAATTTAACATGGTTGGTTAGCTCACTGAGCATGGCACAGCATCACTAAAATGTCCAGAATAGCTGCCAGACCCTGATTTTGGTGGAAAACTGGAAAAGATATGCAGGCCTGAACTTTAATATAAGAAATATCACAATCAAGACAATGTGTTTGACACCATCTGCCAAAAACAACAGGGCTTGCTCCCTAGGAAAGCCCATGACATGATCAATCATCAGATAGTTCTTGTTATGAAGGCTGAGTGCAACTGAATTATTGAGATGCTGAGGCTCAGTTTCAATTGCCCATAGTATGATCTGTGCATGTGTATGGATCATATGAAAAGCTTTCCCCAAACCTCTCAAACACACTTGAACTTAATACTCTGTCTCCAAGACAGAATGGGATGAATTGGTGGGTACTCCAACCTGTGCTGACGAAATGGAAAGACTGGCGAAGAGAGAGGATGTTCAACAACAGCTATAGTAAAGACGGGCTATCTACATCCTGAACTGTACAACTTGTCTGCCTCTCCGTGACTATCCTTACAGAGTCTGTGGCGCCCTGATCCGATAGAGCGCTTGGGATAATTCTAAAGAAATACGGCAAATCTGTTTCTTTAAATTCTCAAGCATATGTAGTTGCAACTGAATCAAATTCGTCACCACAAAAATCAAGCCATACACTATTGCGCCTCCTTGGGCAGCCCATGCAGAGCAACTTAGAAATCATCCCTGCAATTTTTCCGGCACAACAACAAGGACAAAATCAGCAAATGTGTTCAGAACCTGAGAGTTTGTGGAACAGATATATTGTCCGGGTCAGAGAGCATGGCTGCCTATAGAGAACTCATGCAATAATGGGATGAAAATATTATCAAAACCAGGATCTTTCGCAACAGTTTCCTGTCCAGAAAGCCTGCACAATATAGGCCCATTGCCTCAATCTTATTGATCTCGCGGATCCTATCAATCTCACCAGTCATCTAAATTCATACTTGCATTGTTGTATGATCCACATACTTGACTCATCACAATGTCTGAGTACTTCTCCTGTATGGCAGGAATAAGCAGCTACTTCCCAGCATGGGTTGCCAAAGTTTTCCAAGACAAGAGGAGCAAAGCCAGCACGCGCACCAAGTCAGGTACAGAGCCTGAGCCAGATTACTCAATAGTCATGGCTCAACTTGTTCTTCCCCGCAGGTCATGTCACCCAATGAATCACAGTGAGGGCAGTCTCCAGAATTCTCTGAAGCCACAGCTAAGCCAGAACAGGATAACTCCCCTTCCATCCACTTTGCTATCAGACTCGCTAACCAGGGCAGGGTATAAAAGACCTGAGTGAGTTTCAGCAGAAGCATAAACATTGAAGGCCACTAATCAGAGTTGAAGGCTGCAATTGGCTGCTGGCCCTTACAATTTACTGTTAGATGGTATGGAAGAGCCATCATTGAGGAATTCAGAGATCTCCAGGTTCAGTGATGATGAAGTTATGGAACCTCAGCAGAGATGGTTTACAGGCAATACTTTGCACAGGAGATGAATATAGCTGACAATGGGGGTGTGGTTTTGGCCTGGAATCTCATGAACTATATACCACATACTCGCTAGGGGCATGATAGGAATCATGTAACAAAAGGGATCTCCAGGTCCACAGCCATCAAATAAAGTTGGATAACATTTTGCAGCAGGGCAGTGGCTGGCATTGATCATGCAATGTATACATAACCCTAGTGCGTAAAATTCAGATCCATTAGTAGCATAATGCAGTGGATCATTGTTTTTTCTCTTCAGTGCAGATTGTAATCAAGGGTTTCAGAATTCAGGCTGGTTGAAATCCAGAGCATTATATAACAGTCAGGTAAGCCCATTGCTAGAAGGGCCACCTCCAAGCTTACTTGACTTAACCCAAACACTTTTCACTATGGCATCTCACACCCAGCAGGAAGCTTGGTGTGATACAACATTCATTACATATGACCCCAATCTCACTGATCCCATCAACTGCTTTCACTGTATGTCAATTGCAGATGAGGATGCGATAGCAGATTACCAACAGCAAGCTGGCATTGCCTTGCACATATTGGATGAGGAATGGCAACAAGCAATTAATTCCAACATTGATAATCTCCAAAAGCAGAGAGAGTGTTTTGTTCAAGACAAGATTGATAGGATATTTGTGTCCTTTGAATTCCTCCACCTGCTGAAGCCACATAGATGGGAGTACCTATTGCTATGTCCATTCCCTCCCGGACAGTCAAATACATTGCTATTCTCAATTCTCTGCCCCAGAATCAACGCGGCAGCATAAACTCTCCACCGTGCAAAAGGTTGTGTGTGAATGGAAGCTGTTTGATGGGGAGGAGAGACCTCTAAGGGGGAGCTTGCGCTCCATCAAGTTCAAGTACAAGAACAGAGATCCGGTCAGTCACACTCTATCAAGGATAGATATAATCACCACCAAAGCTGCTGTGAATGCTCTTCAAAATCTCGGAGTTGCTCTGGCAGATGTTGATGGAAGTCCAGTCTACCATGGTTCAGTCATTTCATTGAAAGGGGAGCTCATTGGGAGCCAGCACTTACTGTATGATTCAAATGAAGATAACAACATCTCTCAAAGGTCTAACCAATAAACATAGTTCAGTGTTAATTTCATCTGTCTCAGAAACAAGAGGCTCAACATCTAGTACATGGAACGTGCCTCCGAGTGTGCATTTACACACTGAGTTCAACCTCAAATTTGCATCAATTGTTTTTGCGGGCGCAACAAAGGATTTAGGCAGATCAGTTGAGGAGCTGGATTATAAGAATCTTTTGTCATTGGTACCGGATGATTTCTTCAAGAAACACTATGCAAATGATGTGAATGATGAGTTAGAGCTTGCGAGGACATTCATTTTGAGAACAGAAAGTTCAAAGTTTGAGTTTAAATTGTTTTAACTTTAACTATGGAGGACATTAAGGGAATTTCAAGTCAAATATTACTCAGCAGCTGAAAACTAGCATTTTGTATCCTAACCAAGCTTGCTGACCAGGAAAAGTGAGAAAGGAACTGAGTTTTGAACCAAGCAAACAGCCACTAAAGCCTTACAAATTTCAGTCTCTGTCCTTGATCTTCAGAAGCAAATTCATTTGGCAAAATATCTACTGCACTTGGCCACCAGTCTGACTACACCTCACCACAAGAGCTATTGGAGGCTGGTATGTGCATTGCAGCCAATAAAGCACACAAACACTGACAAATGACAGATAATGATTGCGCTGAAGCTGCTAGAATGAGTTTGATGTCATCAGAATTGTGATGTTTTTCCATTTTAAGATTAGAGCCTGTCAACAGTCTCTATCATATGTGAGGAGCTGGCCTGCATGAATCTGGTAACACATTCAAATCTTTAACTTGCATACTTGTTGATCAAGAATGACAGGTCCAATGCTGAATCCTCCTTTTTTTTCTTTTTTGTAAGGCGTCGACTGCAGGAAAGCCATATGCACATGCCCAGGCTTCAAACTGTCCACAAGGAATAGCCTAGCTTACAACAAGCTGATTTGCCTTATTCCTGGGTTTGACAAGGCAACCAAATGCTACCCCTCATTCTTGGGTCCTTTGAATCTGAAGGCAATAAATACTCTCTCAGAATCATGACAGCTCTGTTTATGGAGTACTTGACAAACATACCTACCAGTTCTGCTCTGTCCTTGAAATTCCTCCACTGCAAAGAAGGCAATGCCTCCCTCAAGGATGGCAACCAAAGAAGTTAGCAATTGTGATGATAAGGATGGTAGCCTGCCAGGTGATGGAGGATTGACAGTGTGAGCACTCATTTTCAATTCATAGAGATGCTAAGCTCACATATCTGTCAAGCAGGAAGCAATTATCCTCATCCTTGAACCAGTCTACCCTGACCAAATGGCAAGCAGCGGCCGTTCTCCAATCATTGTCGCAGCGAGAAGCTATCCCAAACAACCAATCCGGCTCAGAACCACTATCTGAGGCTCAAGAGAAAATGGAGAGGCCTTCCTCTAGGGAAAAGGCTTCTCCAGTGAAATCCCTGCCCGCAAAACAACTTCAATCTTGTGAAAGTCCCATCATTCCCAATAAGTCACACAAACACCCTCTCCTACAGTCCAAGCAACAGCCTGAAATCCCTTTCCGCCAGCAGCCACAGCCAAATGTCTTCACCCCCAACTATGATGATGGAACTCACCACATCTGGGCCGGTGCCAAAAAACATACCGCCTATGACTTTGACTCGCCCGTGGCCTCAATGTCAGTGCTAAACAGTGAGGAGATGCCCGTCAATACCCTGACCCTGGAACCCAAAATACATCAAATCTCAGAAGAACAGCTGAGCAATGAAGTCCGCACTATCTATGCTGGCCTAGTTTTAGTGGAGAAAAAATGCATGGAGATTGACCGCCAAAAGCCAATAACCCTACTCACTTGAATCATGGACAATGGCAAGCACTCATAGCCTTGCATATGACCCTCCTCCATGAACATCATGATTTCTTCCTTGCATCACAGCACCCCTCTGCAAGCCCTGGCCTTCAGAAATTGGCCAGTCATTATTCAATGCCTGCCCGGATGTGGCAGCATGGAATCCACTTGTTCCTGGAACTTTTGCGCCATACACTCCCTGAGGCATTAGATCATATGCTGACCTTTGTATTGACTGCATATTCCATGATGACCCTGTTGCTTGAGAGTGTACCCAGCTTTGAAAACACCTGGATTGAATGCTTGGGGGATTTGGCCCAGTACAGGATGGCTGTGGAAGAGTCTGACTTTTGTGACAGGGAGATGTGGACTGATGTGGCAAGATACTGGTACAACAAAGCTGCAGACAAGTCTCCCCAGGCTGGGAGAATTCAGCATCATCTTGCTGTCCTTGCCAGGCCCAATATTCTTCAGCAGCTGTTCTTCTACTCCAAATCCCTGGTTTGTGTTCAGCCATTCCCTAATACTAAAGAATCCATTATGCTGCTTTTCAACTCCCTCTTGGACCAGAAGGAGTTAGCCCTAGCTCACTGTTCCCCTACAATGTTACCTTTTGTGAAAGCTCATGGAACTCTTTTCACCAAACAGTCAATACTCGCCTTCCTTGAGTATGGACTTGAGTACATGTCATACCTGAAGACCCAAGTTGATCACATCAGATCCAAATGGAGAGAACAGGAAGTCTACATTGCCTCTGCAAATTTTGCCTGTCTTCTTGAGTATGATGCTAGCTCACATCTCAGCAAACTGTTCCAGAAGGCCATTGAGTCCCCTGTCAGTATCTCTCATGTCAAAGCTTCCTATCAGTCTCTTGCCCCTTGCCAGCTGTATTTGCGCCCTGTTTCTGATGTTTCCTTTCAAACCTCTGCTGAAATTATTTCCTATACCTCCTGTTTTACCTTCCATATTCTCTCTCGCGTTCTGAAACATATTGGTGATAAAAATGTTTTACCTCATGTACATGTGTCTTTGGCCTTTCTTTGATCTGTCTCATTGGTTCCAGAAGCCATGTCCTACATCCAGTCTGAAGTGCCATGGGAGAGTTTGGTCACTTTCCTAAACACACTAAACAGACAGGTCCTGAATGAATCTCAGCTGAAAAATGAACATTTTCCTATGCCAGAAAGTGGCACAAAGCACCATTTGCCTGAAGATTTTTCAATGCATGGATTGGTGTGGAGTCAATTGTACTACCCTGCTGATTTCTTTAACTACCCCTTTCTTGAAGATGAGAAGGGAAGGTCTTTGGAACTCCCTAGTGTCACAGTGTCTTGGTTGGAATGATGTCTTTGGCTGGGACACCGCCTTGCATCTGTAAGTGAGGAAGAGGCATAAACAACCTAGAAGTGCATGGTGCTAACCTTATGGTTTTAGCTGGACCTCTGGATTTCATTTAATGAGAAGCCGAAGAAATTTGTCGTCACAGACTATGGCAAGCAAATTGAGGGCAAGGCTAGAAGGGTAACCCTCTTTAATGATGCAGCATGCTTCTTTGAGGAAAGAGACTATGTCAAGACATCATCAGAAGATGAGCATGATTTACAGATGGCAGACACTCAACCTGTACAGGCTGTTGATACTCAGTCAAAATGATGTGGAAGCAGCAAAGTGAGCTGCTTTTTTCTGAATCTTGATGAAAAATTGGGGAAGGCCATTTTTAATTTCTTTTTCCTGGAGCAGTGCTTGAGCAGGTTTCCATGTGGGATAATTGTAATCATAGCTTGACTGGTGAATTCTGTACTTTCAAGCTAGGGCTTCTTATCACACCAATTCTTTCCCACATGGCGCAGTTACCCCATCAATGACTGGCACTCTATTTCTGCCAAAGCTTACCGTCATGTTCAGCTCTAGGAGAGACGCTTCTTGCTGTCCCATTTGGCAGGTTTGGAGATAGGGTAAAGTTAATTTTGCTCCATGTCTGCCCCAAAGGAAATTATGCCAGGTCAATTTCTCAGGATGCCGGTTAATCGATGTAGTCACGTGATCTGAAACGTCAAGCCTGAATCGTGCCCACTGACTGTGTTCACGTCTCTCGAAGGTCTGAAGACCATCGGAAATCTAGCCTGTCGTCGACAGATGGGGAGCGAACTTGATCTGATGAGCTACGAGAGGTTTGCCGTCGAGGAGCAAGTGATTTCCATAGTTCAAGAGCTGGTAAAACTCAATACTGATTTCCTTCCAATTCTTGGTTTGGGGGTCTCTTTTTGAGAATCACGCCAACACTCTAGATGAAAACTTGGAACCCGCGGAACAAGCGCGTCACGGTTGGAGGCCTCATTCTGACCAACTCTGCGTCTTTCAACGAGATGGCGAGTCAGAATTGCTGCTGTTCATCATTGAGTATAAAGCAGGCCATAAGCTTCAGCCTGCCACCCTGAAGGATGGATTGCAGCCATGCAACTTCTGGGAAGACATCATACAGGCTCATGTCATTCCCAAAAGGGATAATGAAAAAGGAGAGGGCCATCTACAACGCGCGGCAGCTCTCCGGTGCGGCCATCACCCAAACATTTGACTACATGATCCGGGAAGGTGTCGAGTACGGGTATCTGACCATGGGTGAGTGTTTCGTCTTTCTTCTACTACCAGTCCTATCCGGTCAGTGATGTCACTGAGGATGGCGAATTTCATCTCTCACGCACTGCAATATCATCGGGCTCCTCCACAAGGGATCAAGCTTGGCGAGATTGCGCGTTTTCCACGCTCCACACCTGGGTTGTTGACGTCGAGTACGTCCTGCACAAATACTGGAAGATGAAATGCCTCACACGCCACCGGGATCGACCTACATCCCTTCCAGTCCGCTTTCTAGCGCCGGCAAAGACCAACCACGACAACCCCGCCGGTTGCGGAATCGCTGCGCGAGCCCTGATGACCTTCCCCACGACCCAGCGTCAGACAGCTCTGATGGAGGGAACAAAGGTTGGAAATGGGGAGACAAGTGACTTGCGGTGGTCATGTCTCCGCCGCAACCGCCTCCAGCCAAACGGCAACAGCCGGCGTACCAGTCACATGAGGAGCGCCGCCGTAACCACACAGCGCGGATGGAAACCATCTGTTGTCCAAGGGAGAGGTTGCCCAGCTCCTTGAAGCTCAACTGAACGATGATCGGGACAACGGGTGTAGGCCCCTCCGCCTCCACGGGGCCCGCGGCATCATGTTCAAGATGACACTAGCTCGATACGGCTACACCTTTGTTGGAAAAGGAACGAACAAAGGTTTCATCCCCGATCTCCAGCATGGGGCTCAAGTGTACGAGTATCTCAGGAAGCTCCAGGGAAATTTGATCCCGGTCTGCCTTGGGAGTGTAAACCTCAGGGAGCCGTTCATCACGGTCGGGTCGTCCACTACCTACTTCTCTCCTGGGCGGGAGATGGCATAGACCCAGAGCATTTCGACATCTACCGGGATGGAAAGCGATTACAGAAGGAGTTGGGCCAATATGGAGTGATCCATGGAGACATTCATCTAGCCAATGTTGTCTACAATGCAGAGCTGGGCAAACCAATGCTGATTGACTTTGATCAGGCGCGTCTCAATGCACGGGCACGCAAGAGAAAATCAATTGCAGGGTTCTCAAGGACCAAGCCCAAGCGACTCATGCAGAATTAAAACTTGAGAGTTGTACTAGAATTTTTGATGCAATTCTCACAACGAGATCTGATTCACGGAAAATATTGTAAAGGTTCGAAAAACCCTGAAAGGAACGAGTTTGATCGCTCGCTTGTTTAACTGATGAAGGGACAAAACTTCCGTAGAAATAATCTGTTGTGTACAACTTTTTTTCAGTCTTCGGGTTTGAATATTGGCAGAAGACTTTGGTTGACCTCTTTAAAATTGCAGCTGATGTCATTGCTAATACTTCGTGTGGTTCCTTGCGAGATACTCACATCTTCGAAGCCGTTTCAACAAAGCTGTTAGAAAACTACACAGCTAAGCAAGCATAATTATGCGGGGCATGACTCATGTATGAGGCCCAAACCTTAATGGAGCGTAACTTATGTATGTTTTGGCAGTTCCAGCCACAGGTGATCAATCATAGCCTGCAACTGTGATTCAGTCTGGCACATCCCACTAGACTGGGCATCCAGGTTGTGGGCCGAACAGGTGCGCAGAGGCCCATCAGCTAATTTTCAGGACTCAGATGTGCAACTATTAGCTGCATATGCGGCGGAGCGGTACGCAACATCGTTGATCAACCTAGACTCTATGGAAAGATGAAAGAGATTATTCAAATGGCACGGCGGAGTACCTTATATCGCGATTGGACTTCACCTTTCCTCGCTGCGATGCCTCGATCAGTACGCAAGATTACGCAACCCGAAATTAATCAACTCGACAGGGTGATCAAGGCAAGCTAGTTTTACCCACATTAGTTTCACGTGAAGGGTACCGGGCAGAGGCGGGGTAATCACGGTTTACCCCTCCTGGCTGTCATGTTCTTCCTCATGATACGAACCATTCCCTTCAGTACTTTGATATATTCCATGCTCTTCTGTCTTCACTTCTATTGCAAATTATGGCAAATGCTCTTGGATTCGAGATTGTTGAGGCTGTGGTCTCAAGTGCGCTTGCGAACGAGGCAGCGGATGCACTACTAAAACAAACTCAGCATCGCCGGGAGAAATATGATGCCTACAACGTACCTAATGAGTGTCTTTTAATAGTGAACAAATTTCTTGAGGTTAGGTGTATTGACTATGGAGGTCGTTTCGCGCTAACAGGTCTCAAAGAGCCCTGGCACGAGTGCCCTTGCTGAATTCTTGAAGCTGACCGCTCTACCATTGAGACCAACAAATGTCTTTGCTGGCATGTTCCGCGAAACAAACGCCGATCCGAACAAACTGAAGACTGCCGAAGAAGGCGAAGTCTACATTACTATCGCGCTGACTGATCTTTCTCCCAAAAACGGCTGGTATACTTTCTACCCCGGCTCGCGTAAAACGCAGCCTCTGACATCAATGGAACCTGTCGCTCTTGATCTCAAGGCGGGTGATGCTGTGATTTGGCGAGGCGATCTGGTCTATTTCCACACTCCCGGTGGAGGTGGCATGTTTCTGACTCTAGTTTATAATAAATGTGCTGCTACTTGACAACCGAGAGGATAGCATGATTGGAGTCATATCATTGATTAGGGTTATTGGAACGTGTCGCTATTCAAACAATGTATAATTCTGATCCCAACTCGAAAAGTTACCTTGCGTTATCTCACTTAACGACGGGCGAATGGTGTAATTCTGATCCCAACTGTCCAGCATCGGGTTGAAATTCCAATCCCAGTTTCCAGAATAAATGAGATTTGACGGATGAAGACTAGTGTTTGCATCTATTGAACCGCCGGATTCTGACTGGGGAAGTCCTGCATTATAGCTGGAACCCATATGGAGGTCGTGTGAAAGGCCAGTGTTCCGCCCCGGTGATTCAATATTCAGAACTGATGCCGTTTCGTTGCGTATTTGTAGTTCATTGCTGTCGGCTGATGGCCGGCTCGCCTGAGGAAAAATGTCAGTTACAGCACGAATCGACCGTACGCATATGTCTTACAGTCTCCCCCGGAGTCCAGGTATTGTTTTCTGGACTAAACTCTGCCCTTCTCGAAGCGCTTGCCTGTCCGCTTTCTGAACGCTTATCATGGGGTACGACTTGATGCAACATTTCAATTAATGGCGTTAGAGGTTGTGGGATGACTGTTCCCTCTGCAGGGGTGATAGCTTCAACAGAGTTTTCTGCTGGGGCATGTTCCGCTGCACTCGAGGGACTGGACTCATGGGAGGACTGCTCATTCCCAACATCATCCGTGTCGGATACCCTCCCATGACTTGCAGAAGTAAGTAGCCCATCCCGCCCTATCTCTTGCATCACGACATCCTCATCTCAGAATTGGAAGCGAGGCCGTTTGGATGCGGCCAACGCAAGCGCGGACGGCCTTTTTGAAGTATTGCGCAGCTGCTCTGTGTTGTCTATTGAATCTCCGTACCGCTGATGCCTTCCCATCCTCTCTGCCAGTGGCTCGGGCGAGAGAGTCACCCCATCACTAAGAACAGCATCGGTGCCTTCGCAGAAACATTGCTCTGGATGAAACCGGATTGAAAGGTGGTTCCAAGACAGTTGCAGACACCACAACTTCCTCAAATCGTGGATGATACTCGCAGCCTGCAACGTCCCGACAACAGCATTGAAAGCTGCTATCGGGAAGCGCCGTTGTTCGAATTCTGTAAACCACCGATTGTCACTCAGTATATGGCCGAAAGCCAGGACAATCGCGGGCTCTGTTAACGCAAGCCATTTCTCCCCATAGCCGCGCCATCGCGCGAGCTTTTCACATTTCTCTTTCCGGACCTTTGTGTCGAGGTGCGCCCAGCACTTTTCCGCAAAGTATGTTGTTATGTGTTTGTCCATGGGAATGCGGCTGCCCCCACAATGTTGGGCGGCCTCACTCTGCAACAATTGGAGTCTCAAGGCCAGCAGTTGCAACCTGAATACCCTATGAGCACCATTTGCATCTTTCTCAGCTGCAGTGAAGGCCTTTTCGGCCTCAATCAATTCATTGCCAGAATTCGACGGAGTGTTGACTTGATCAGGTTCAAAAAAGTCTCGGTCGTCCCTCAAACTCCGTTGTACTTTGTCCTTGAACTCTTGCAGTCTGCTGGATTCCATATCCCAATTGTCAGTTATGGAAAGAACGTCGTCACTTTCAAAGTCGGTTTCAGCCCGTTGTCTTGACAGATACGATGCATCGCTCCGAGCATTTCCCGTGCCCGTTGATAATCGTTTCTTAACATTCTGTAAAGCAACGACCCGTTTGTGACGATACCAGAATTGCTGAAATGGCTCGAAGTCCAAGGCTCCCGTTTGATCCAGCTCATTTCCCACACCTCTAAAGTAATCCGCCAGCGCCTAGATGAGAATTAGCAATCAACCTGAATAGCAACAAGGAAATAATAACAACTTTCGAGTCATTCTGTTGCTCAAAAGCTTGAACCAGTCCGTTCAAGTGTCGTTTGACATTGCTTTTCTGCTAACAATCATAAGCTTCGTGCCCACCAGGAGAAATGCTGAGAAAGTACCCACCCAAAGATCCCCTTCCATGTTGTCATGGTGAGGTTAAAGCTGGTTCCCAGAACCAAGATCACAAAGGGAGTCGAATTCGCGCTGGCTGCCTACAAAGCTGGATTTCCTCTTTTTCTTGGCAACCCCACTTCACCCGGGAAATTATCGAATGTTCAGGAGGCACATCCTGAACATTGATAATTCCCGGCTCACTGAGGAGCTCTGCCCTGTTAGTCTATTTCAAAATAAACTATTTCAAGACGGTTTTATTTCTGATCTGAACCACATGCTTTCCGTCTGTTTCAACCCCTAGAAATCCATGCGTGTTTTTATCTCAACGTGACGGGTAAAGGAGTTATCGCCTTTCTGGCCACGCTGCGGCCGGATTCGCCCGGGCACACTCTTGAATGATTGCTGTTGAGTCACAGGAATTCCCCCTTTCAGGGTTTCTCAATGCATGCCTGGTGGCATTGATTGTGTATTCACTTCTGCGCGAACATCATGGCCGCCGCTTGGCTCACCTGCTACGTCGGCGCAGCATTAGTCCAATTGTCATCTTGACAGCTTGATTGTCCTAAAGCTGCTTGCAGCCCATTGGTGACCAACCATGACCATTTGCAGCCGACTCTTCCCCCGAGAGGATGTTCTGCTCCAATTCCTATTGACGAGCGCATTTTTGCCCCCACTATGAGGTGAGAGGTCCGGCGCCACTTCGAGATGAGTGACCTATTTACCGGATGCCTCAAGGCTGCAGCTCTCGACTCCAGCATTGCACCTGTCAGAGATGGCACTGTCACCTGGGTTCTGCCTTTTGTTAAGTTGTGATTGAATATGACCACATCCTTGTTCACTATGCATCTACAACGGCTGCTATTCTCAGATCCATAAAGAAGGCAATAGTGTCCTCCTTGAGCCATAATAGTCTCATCCATCATGGTTTTCCTCGAGGTCGCTTTGATGGCTTCCCATCAAATGTACCACTTAATGGAATCCGTCCAAGTCAGAGAAAGATTTGAAGCATTCAAGGTTGCAGATATCAATGATAAGCATTATGAACCCGTCACTGGTGTATTGATGAAACAGCAGGTAAGTTTTTGTTGAGTATCCTTGGTCCAGATCGCTGATCATCCTACAGATGACAGACGCGATGATAACTATCGGACTCCAATTTATTCAGCAAAGCATTACAGCCGATACTATTCCTGGACACGAGGCAATTGATCTTTTACGTCCCTTGGATCGCATCATAGCGGAAGCTACTTCAATAATGGAAACCCAGAGCCTCAAAGAGCTACTTCAAGTTTTGCCGAAGCTCATTTCGAACATCACTGTACCTAAGGGCCGACAGGAATTGATGATTCGAGAAAGCCTCCAATGGCTATCGGATTTATATCCTGGCTGGACCTTCTGCGCGGAAAACAGAACTGGGGCAAAGGTCCAAATAACAAATCTCTGTTCCGAACCGGTAATGGAAGAATCAATGCAAGAAAAGCTCATGTGGCTAGCAAAAATGTATTTTGGTTGGACTTTCCGAATGATAGATGAAAGGCTACAAGTTCCCGGGGAAAAATCCCTCAAACTCTGGTGCACACACGACATAGAGAGTGATCGCAGTGGAGGGGAAAATGAGTACTTGTATCCTGTGTATTAATCACAAGTATAGCTTAGAAAGACAGTCTATCATCAAAGCTCATTTGGGAGGTTTCTCTGTGTTGGTTCTTGACAGGAACAGTCATTGGTGGGATGAGTGTAATCTCCTGAACTCATGAGCAGCCTACTAAGGACCTTTGTTGCTGATTTGGATAGGAATGGGACGGACTGCGGCTCCCGAACATCCCGCGGATTCGAAGGTGACAACATGAAAGCATGTAGCCTGGCGCCAGAAGTCTGAGGAACCGAGACAAGTGCAATGTCATGTGACTCCCCGTTGTACCCATAGCAGAAATGGGGAGGATTTGTAAACCGTAGATCCACTAGTCCTGATACATTTATGTTGGAATATACGTTTATCTGAATCCACGGTTGTTTGGAAGTTTAAAAATATATACATTCTGAATTCAGAAATGTAGCTTCCAATTCTCAACATAGAAATCAGGAAATGTTCAAACCCCTGATCAACAAATATATCTAGGAACATTTGGGATACCTTTTCAGGTTTATAAATGTTTATAGTATAGAAACCATTATAGTATAGAAACCATTATAGTATAGTTACCCCAGCAGACACTGGAGAGATTTCAACTAATGCACAATACTACATACATCAAACTGCCCAATCCACCTATAAAAAGAAAACACTCCAAGTGTAGTTGAGAAAGGTAGTTAGCAGAGCAGAATCCAGTTCAAGTTTTTCAGAATCTTTGCTGACAGATATTATGTAAAGGCTTGATTTGTGGATTACAGGTAGGCTAATTATATAAATCTCATTCTAATTCATCTGCAAAATCAGCAAATCCAGTATTCTCTTGTGCTGAATTTCATGAGCAGAGAACATGACAAAAAAAACCCTTCAGCAGCTGCTCTGGTTGTGGGTGAATATACATCTTATTTACCTGATCTTGATGTCCAACACACAAGTATACTCAACCAGGTTATCAAGTTTCAATGTAGTGCAATGCACATCTTTATTGAATGTAAAGATCAGCTTTTGAAATAATCAGACTAGAGTCAAACCTTTATCAAGCATATGTTAATATGCTTAATTACTGCTGTATAAAAGTTAGAGCTTTTGCAAAAAGAAATGCATAATTAGTAGTTCAGAAAGTCACATGCTTTATAAATCAAGTAATTTTATAACTTTGCAGCTAGCTGGTAGTCAGCAGTAGGCATTAATTAAGATATGAAAGAGAGTAATAGCATATGAATTATCAGCTTCATCAGCATTCTTATTATTATCTTGTTACTTATTGTGTTCCAATCACATGAGATCTTGCATGAGAATCAGATATTCACAATGAAGTTGCTTCATCTGGCTGCTGATATAAAGTTTCAATTTCATAAGAGCTTCATCAAGAACTAAGAATATAGTACATTTGAAGCTCTTATAAATCAGTAAAATCTTTTCAACATTATACTTGTTGGTTTGCTGCACAAATACTTTATATTTACAGTATTTATTCTCTCTAATCAGTACATTGTAGTTATTTGATACAGTATACTTCTTTGCCTAATCAGTATAGTGCATCTCAATATGCATATTTAATTAATATTTCAAAGCATGTAACATCTTACCTGCTTTCAGAGTAATACTGACAGTGTTGATCAAAATGTTCTCCATCAGGAATGTCATAATTTAATTAAATACTGGTGAATTCTGCTATGATCTCAGCATTTATACTGTCCAGCTAGCCAATTATAATGTCTCAGCAGTCATGACAGTAGCATCTATTACTTTCTGAAGTATAGTTCAGACATTAGTAACTATACTTTTAAGTTCATTGTACCTAACAGATATCTGAGAAGTTAATAGTAAATTGCTTCTTGCAATAGCATCAAAGATTTTAGCAAGCAATAAATACAGAATGTCAGAATTAATTAACTATTCACTAAAGAAGTTATAGAGAGCCTGCTGAATAACAGTCTGAATTCAGTCAGACTTTAGAGCAAAGCAGAGTATAATTGAAATCATAATTAAAGCTTGAGTGTATTTCTGAATTTGATAGAACTTCAGATGAGTAATTAGAGACTGCAGTCAGGCCCAGCATCTTCAAAATAAAAATCTCTGTAAAGTTTGGCAGTATTTGTTCTGCTTCTCAGATATTAATATATGTAATATCAATAATGTATGTGTAATTTTAGACAGGCATGAAAATTCATTATAACAGAGATCAGAGAGGAAAAATGTCATCAGATTCAGTACCAGACAGATCTTCAAAACTGGGAGACTTTTCTTGACTAATCTATAGGTCTTCTACAGTACTTCTTGCTTGCAAACAGTCTGCTTTACCTCAATTTCAGCCCACAAATTAAGTAGCTGGTAATAATATTGGCTGTATTTCATCAAGTCAAAATTCATATTGAATCTCTTCACATCAGAGACAGTACAGCTCCAACAGAAGACTGTTACAGTAAAGTATTTGATTCTAGCATTATCATTTTACTGTAGCATGTTATCAAGATAAGTAATACAAGAAGCAATAATCCTGACAGTTTCTTCATCAGTTACCACAATATCAAATTCTCTTTCAACTGCTTGTAAACCAGGAGCCAACACCTCCACAATATTGGAAAAATTTGTAGTATAAGGCCCAAGAGTAATTGTATATATATTATTTCATTATCTTCTTTCAGAATCATTAAGTCCCACAGAAATTATATAAAAGCTAGTTATATTTCAGTACATGTTCCAATATAGATTAAATTCATCAATGAACAGCAGGAAGGAAATAGATATAGTTCTCTTGATAGCATCACCTAAGCAGAGCATCTTGATCAGCATATCTCTCTTATATGCCACAATTTCCAGTTCACTCTGGAGCAGAGTGCTAAGTCAGAGCTCTTGTACAGATGATGTGTGGCAAATTGTATTTATTACTCACTATACAAAGAACTCATTTGTTTCTGAGGGTTTGTAGCTACCTAATTTATTAAAGATGTAGTCAAGATTGACATCCAGTTAGGCTAGAATGTTGTCTTTATATATGATGTGAGTTTTCTGGTCTTCCAGTAAGAGCAGCTTGTTCAGGCAAAGCAGAGATCTCAGCAAATGAATTCTTTTATCAAAGCTGCTGGCAGTAATAGTGTACTGGATAATAAGAACAATTTCACCAGGTTTTGTGCAGGCTAGTCTCCAGTCTCAACTCATAAATTGAATTCTTCCAATATAGATTTCTTGTTCATTTCAAGTACACTTATATGCAGTATTGTTGCACCTGAAACAAACAAAATCAGAAGAAAAGACTGGTGTCTCATCAGAATACCATGCAAAGTCACCCAACAAACATCTAATAGAGCTTCTCCAGCTCCATGATTGCCACAATTCAGTCAGATTATTAACTAGATCAGCTATACCAATATGTATCTTCTTGCAAAATACAGAAGACCTTGCCAGTAATAATAAAAGAGCCACAGGATTCTGAAAGAATAAATTAGATGTAAGAGATATCTGTATTAGTCACTTCTCAGCAGGTGAAAGAGTTGGCATTTTCAATGGAACAGCTGGTATAGATACCCATCAGATGGGAAGTATAGAGAATTAAGCTCTGCATTTCTTCTTTAACATGCTCAGCCTTAATGATAGAGATCTCAGTGCACCAATGTCTTCAGAAATCTGTAAGACTTTCCACAGTATCTTATAGTGTTGGTGAGATATTTCTGATTTTTTGCATCATAATTCTAAAGCAAGTATGAAGTGGTCCAGCATTTCATCAGACTTCACATGTGTATGGACTAGAATCTCCAACAGGTCATTCATTGTAGTTAGAATGTAGGTCTCAGCTGGCTGGTCACCCAATGAATTCTCTAGTTATGAATAAAAATTAGAATCTCCATTACTAACCAGATGCACTGAATATAATATAATCTGTAATCAGAATTCAGATTCAGGCTCTTCATACTATTGTGATTCATTGTTATCAACTGATTTCATGGGTAGAGCTGCTACTACTTCTTGTATAATCTTCTGTATTCTGATATCTTCTGATTCAGAATGAGTGTCAGATAGAGCATCAGATAGAGCATCAGAGATATCTGAAAGACTTGCTGCATTCTGTATACAGTAATTAGAATGATACAGACTGACAGAGAATTTAAGATCTTACACTTAATTCTGACTTCTTAGTTTGATTGTTCAGCTGAATGTCAGATTTTACTGAAGATAAAATACAATTGTAATCTTGCAATTTCTGTAACAAATAAGCAGACTATCTGCATCTTCAAAACTGCAAGACTGGAAATGACAAATAAAGTCATCTTCTCCAAAATATATAGTTCTTTATGTGCCTTAAGTATCTCAGATCTCACATGTTTGCTTGAGATTTATACACCAGTTTCTACAGTAGTTAAGTTTCAAGTTGCAGAAACAGTAAAGATTGCTGCAGAATTTCTTTAAGATAAAGTATATAGAAATTAGAAAGAAAATTGCTGTTCAATTAGAGAATCAGACATATTATAGCAAAGTTGAATGTTAGAGCAGCCATAAAATATGCTAACTGTGCCACAGACCAACTGTAATATTCTGATTATCTAGACCTGTAATTAGCTCTAAGAGATGCAAGATCAGTAATAATCTGCATTCTTCTGAATAATCAGCCTATTTCAAAGAAATCAATCACTTAGCAGCATTGAATTTTAGAATGTAGAGAAATATGAATACAGATCTGAATAGTAACTTGAGCAGTTGAATACACTTCAAGTAAATTATATAATAGATAGTAAATCTCTTTAAAATTCAAGCATTCACTCTCATTCATTCTCAACAGCAATCCAATAGTCAAAAAGTCAGAGACACAGAGCACACTAGCATCAAAAAAAACAGCTTACATCTTCTCATGAATTTAATTACATAACATGCTAAAGGCTCAAGAAGCATTATTCAGTTCAAATACAAGTACCCAAACTGAAGCATTCTCTGATTATACAGAGATTGAAAAGTGGGTTTGAGTGATGAAGCACAAGATATAAAATCAGGTGCAATGAACCTATATATTAACATTAAATACTGATCTGATTCCCAATACTATCCAGAAGATGCTGAGTCTTGAG